AACAGTAAAGTAGGAAAAGAARTATCTGAAGAAACCACACAGCTTCATACGAGTATCATAAAGCCATATGGCTGCAAGGAATCATGAGAACATCACAAAAACTCCATGGTAGACACTAACACCGCCAACACCACAGCAGGGCAACTGGCATTACAACATGCAAGGTYAGGCTGGATGGGGCTTTGAGCAACCTGGTCTAGTGGAAGGTGTCCCTGCCCATGCCAAGCGGGGCTGGAACTAGATGAGTTTTAGGGTCCCTTCCAACCCAAACCATTCTATGATCATGTTATCCCATGGCAGTAAATGCTACATCCCAGTCTTTAAGGGTCACTCATTCCTCAACCTCTGAAAGACGTAAAGGAAGGGGAAGAGAATTTGTCTTCACTGACCTCTTTTTGACTTTCATCCAAAATGCAGCATAAGTACTGTTCTGACTTCAGCTCCACAACTAGCCGCACCAGAACTAGGCAGAAGAAACAGGATCAGTAATATGCACACAAGAGCACTCACAATCCATCTTCCACGGGGCTTTAGCAGACCAGTGAGCAAAGARCTTAGAAATTAAATGAGCGCAGAGGTGCTGAGAAAGCAGAGTAACAGTGGCATTCCCAGCACTATTACTTCTGATAGCCCAGCTCAAGCTCTCTGTGGCACCATTACAGCAGTCCTGCCTCAGCTGTTCTACAAGCCATGCATGGAAATGAACTGCAGGCAACAAATGGAGCATCACGACAGCAAGTAAACATAGGGAATCAGGAAGTGAAGGGGAAAAAAATCCTAGCTTAAAAACATAAAAAAATTCTGGTAACTGAATAGACCAGGCTTCCTACTGTATGAAAATTGGCCTTTAAAAATGTATCCTTCCAGAGAAGGTATCAGAACTGAAACTGCTGAGGATCCTTAGATTCAGAACTCCTCTTCAGCTGCTACTGYCCCTAAGGTAAGTGAAGTCCATCAGCCATTCTCCCCACTGCAGTTATCCTGTACAGTTATACACTTTACCAGAAAGCAAGGCCCCAGTCACCAGTGTGGTGCTGTTTACCTCCTCAGCCCCAAGTAAGTGCTGTTATTCTTGGCCCACTGAAACTTCAGGAAGTCTGTCAGCTCTGTACAAGAGGAATCAGCAAGAAATTGTTTGCCAGGCAGTGGCAACACATCACCTGGTGCTTCCCTAACAAAATCACAAGGCAGTTCCCTGATGTTGGCAGGCCACCAATGCTTCCACATATACACCAGCAAGCCAGTTTCAGGCAGCAAAGTTCCTCTTCCTCTTCCAGTGTTTTTAGAACTGGGCACCTAAATGTTCAGCGGATAAAATTTGGGCAATGGGCCCTTTACTGAGACACTGTGCAAAATATTCCTACACAGGATTTGGTAAGGCTGTCTTGGATGTAGCTTGCTGTCATGGCATGACTCATTTGGAAAACCCACACTTTTGATTTGTATCTTAGGAAAGCATCATAGAAAGAAATATCACAGACTTCTGTGTTCACCATTTCTCGGTATATACAAGTCAATACTAGACCTACTTCAGCTACAGTGCTATGCATATCAGCAGGAGCATACCTGAGACAGATGATTTATAGATGGTTTAATAGCCTTTTCTTGCCCCAAACTCTCAGAAACTTAAAAAAACTTCCAAGACTTGGGTAACACTATTTAAAATTGCTGTTTGGAGCATCTATCTCTCAACAGACTAGTAACATGACAGAAAGGCTTCTTACCTTTTCAACACCATTTCAAGCAAGTGACTGAAAACTAAAATCCCTCTGGAAGAAGTTCATCACACTTTCTTTTACTTTTCATGTCTGKACATGAAATGCATCATTGCACTGCTGTATCATTAGACCCAGCAGARGTGCCCAAGGTTAACTGGACTGCAGAGATCCCTTTGTCAGCCCTGCAGATGCTTCCTTCGGATTTCAAATGAGGGACAGCTCACAAAGAGGAATCTACAGCCTGTACAATTAAATCAGAAATACCCTCTTCTCCCAAGCAGAAAGAAGTAGATCCCATAGATTTCCTTTTGCCTTGACAATTTGGTCAGGTCCAAAGACGCCAAAGTTGAGACACTGTTATCCATCTGATACTAAATTCATGACACACACAGAACCTGTGAGAGAAATGTTAAATATTTAAATCTGCACAGACTCCCCTGTCCCTAAATATCGGAGAAGATCGTTAATTTCTGTGTATGGATGGGTAATAGATGGTCTTCCCCACTGAAGCTGCATCGAAGCCGAGCACCTCACTATAGGTATCAGACAAGACAGATTCTCCCCTTCACAAACTGCCAGTAATTGAGATGTGGCATTTGTCTCTCACCTTCAGCTAATAGGTTCAGGGCACCGCTGTCTTCCACAGAATGCAACATCCCTAAAAAATAAACCACAGTAGGTCATGGAACTCATTCCTGCTTCTGATCACCAGTGCTGTGGTCACTAGTGCTCACTCCATCTTGCAAAAGAGAACCAATTGTTTTTTCAGAACTATTTTGTTTTCCCTGCTTCACATGACACCAGCATGACTTTGTCAGACAGGGGTGGATACTCTCAGGGAGTATTGCAAAAGGTGCCTCCATAAGCAGGACACAGGGATATGAGACACTCAGTTCTCTTGCAAATTTTTAATTTACTTTACAGAAGTCAATGGCTCCACCTATGTCGGGGAATATGTAACTGCTGCCACCACCACATCTCACTGTGTGTATTCAGTATTACACATTTTGAAAAACACCCTGGAATGACAGAAGTCAAAGCCCAGCTGTGAGTTTTGTCCTTTGTATCCTCCATTCATACCACTTACTATGAACAGTCTTCTCCGTCCACAGTACTGAAAATCCTGAAACCAAATCTGAAMACCAGGTTTAAATCTTATGGAAACTATTCCAACATTAAATTGAACCTGATGGCATCRCTTCACAAGCTAATTTTACGATGAGAGCACAAGATTCGATATGTTAAAATAAACCCCTGTCTCACTCTAATACATCCCAGCAGACAAGAAACTCCACCTCCCACCTTCTTCCAACCTATAGCATGAGGCATATGCTTYAGATCCCAACTTCTGCCACACTAAACCACTCATTTCAACACATTGAAAAAAACCTCCCCTCTCAAAATTTTGACCAACTAAAGCAATGTTAGGACAGATGAGCCTTATCTACCCAATCCTTAATAACTCTAGTAAAGATCTGCATATAGCATTAGTGAACATTGCAATATTAGCTGTGTGCAATTCAGGCTTATCTGAAATTCACCACCTCCTCATACATAACACTTCACTTCTCTTAACCCTCTTTCTTCTCCCTCTGCTTATTCCAATATTCTCTCTCCAAAAAKGAATATATGTTCCTGAATTCCCTATTAATATTTCCTCCACAGCAGTGCTCAAACTTTTGGGGGCCCCTTTTACACTCTTGCACCAAACAATCCTTGGTTCATCCAAGCTCTATCGAAAACGAATACATAGCCCCAAGTTTAGACTGGGATTCCAACTGCTCTAGGAGTTACACCAAGAAAAATAAAAGCCAAAGCTGTTCTCAAACCACCCAATCATAAAGACAATTCTCAGAGAATTATTAGAGAAGACAAGAACATTGAAATGCAAGCACAGCATTCCAGTCTTCTGGAATATTTTGTGTTAGGGCCACACTATGTAGAGTTGAATTGGCCATAAGCAGCAYTCTTTCCACTCCTCTGAAGGATCCTGTGGGCACACAACACTCAAAAAAATTGTGCAATTGAAAGAACTAAACCTGCATAAAATTCTGTTTCTAACAAAGATGCTTCCATGCACAGCACAATTTGTCGGCAATCAACTGGCRAACACTGTTTGAATTATTCAGAGTGTCAAGTGAGGGAAGGGTCTTCTAAGTTACTTTTTCCCAAAGAACAAGAATTATCTGTGATGTGCAAATGAGACAGTGGAATTAAAGGAATCTGGTATATTTGCTCTTTGAAGGCACTYTTATTCCTCCCCTCCACTTTTCCCTTCCTGCCTTACTGTTCCCTCATTTAGACCATTATTTTTTCTCTGACAAAATGTTAGTTGTTTCGAAGATATTTCCCATAGCACTGCTATGCAAATAGAAACCAGTAAGAGATGTTCAAGATCACAGGGACTGTTACTGGAAAGACGCTTTCTGACATCCTGCTGAACACTATTCTGCTATGAGGCTGACCCAGCAGAAAGCAGCAGGTTTGAGTTGTACAGTGACAAGGATTTCTACAAATGCAAAGTGAAAAAAACCCACCACRAAGATTTGTTTTGCACATTTGGTATAAAAACCTGCAGTACCTTTTTAAGTTCACACTTGGATTTCTGTATGACTCTTCATGTAACTCGAGGCATGAGACCAGAATGGATGGCATTCAGGGAAGAGTAATATGCCAGGCATTCCCTACGCTCCAGAAAGATTTTACAAGATAGTCAAGATACTTAGGAAAATTGCAAGAGCTTTATGAATATGCCAATCCTGCTACTTTCTTTGGGGAGTGAGAAAATTAATTAACCTATTCTAAATCAGTGACAGGCAGTTTTCCACGGGGAGTAATTACACACCTAACAGAACGGTGAAAGTATGGAGGCAGGCACCTCAATAATCTTTTGCTCTTTTTTTGCTTCATATGTTGAATACAAGCTTCACATGTATTCAACAAAAGGCACCTGCCTCCTCCCTGCTGCCGCACGAGGCCTCAGCACAGCTCTTACCAAAGAGTGTTCCTATTAAATGCATGCACACTCTCTCTTCTGGTGCCAGCAGCTGGACGACTGGCAGYGCCTGCCAGGCCAGGGCATCCTGGAGACGGGACAGGATGTGCTTCTTGCGCACCAGCTACGGATTAAACACAGCAGCCTGTTAGGCCTTGGGCCAGAGCACCGCCCTGAGGGGAAAAGGACCACCAAGGCCCGGGTGCCGAGGGGACAGGGCTGGCCCGGGGACAGGGCTGGCCCAGGGCCACACCGGCCGGGCACCGGCCCCACACTGAGCGCAGGAGAGCGGCAGCCCACACCGCGGGGCCACCCCCGGGGCCCGCTGGGGGTGCTCCGAGGCCCAGCCGCACACGGGAAGCGCCGGCGGGGCAGACAATGCCCACCGAGGCGCTGCCGTCGTCCAGAGTCTCCACGGCGCAGGCGAGGCAAAGCGGCGGGCGGAGCGGCAGAGCCCAGCGCGGCCCGTGACGGCCGCACGGCCCCGCAGTCCCGGCCGCCATCACACCCTCTCGGGGATGCCGTGCGGCTCCGCCCCGCGCGGGACGAGGGCTCCGCCCCTGGGCCGCCTTCCTTCCGGCGGCCGCAGCAGCGCTCCCGCCTCTTCCCTCACAGCGCGCTCAGGCCGGCAGCAGCGACCCTACGCAGCCATGGTGAGTGGCTTGTGGCCCCGGCCTCCTCTTACTCCTCCTTCTTCTCCTCTTCCTCCTATCTTCCSCTGCTCCTCGTCTTCCTCCTCTTCCTCCCCCTCTTCCTCAGGAAGGTCCGGGGTAGCGGGCGGCCGCCTCCCAGGGGTGCGGCGGGCAGCACGTGGAGGCCGCGCGGGCGGCTGGTTGTAGGGGAGGAGGCCCTGCGGGCTGGCGGTCCTGGGGAYACCCGGTAATGGGACACTCGGTGTCTGGGGTCACCCCCGCGCGGTGCCGGGAGCCRCAGAGGCCGCAGTTCTTCTGCCAGCGCTGGTCGCTAACACGGCTTGTCACCTCGCTACTGTGCCACCCCGCTACTGATTTTCAGAAGCTACTTAGGTTTGCAGAAACAAATCTGATACGTGTTCTTCTGGGGATTTCTTCAAAATCTTTGTTACTCTTAATTTGCGCACTGAAGTGCTTCATTTTATGTAGTCTTTTTTTGGTATAAAATTCGTAAAGACTGTCCCGTAAGTGTACTGCTGCTGGTTTGTTTGGGTGCAGATGTGTGATTGGTACACTCTTAACTTTGATGTGAAGCATATCYTTCTTACTGTTCACTTTTACTTTCATACAAGAAGAATCCTTACTCCTGTAGGAATAAAATGCAATGGTTTTTCTTCTATATGTGCAAAGCAGAKGAGAATAGTGACACGACTCCAGTAATTAATATATGTGGTGGACATGATGCCTGTGCAGCATTGATCAGACCAAAGCCTCCTTTGCTCCTATTATAATATTCTTTACTTTTTCCTGTAGAGTGAGGCAGAAGTGAATCCCAAAGCTTACCCACTGGCTGATGCACAGCTCACCAAAACACTGCTGGATCTTGTGCAGCAATCCTGCAACTATAAGCAGYTACGCAAGGGGGCCAATGAAGGTGAGACTTGTGTGTTGCACAGTGTGCTAAAAGTCATAATAAGGATTTTGTGAGATGCCGTGAGTAGAGATTATCTTCTCTCTGTAGCTGTGAACCATTCATTTTATATTGATCTGGCTATTGCAGGTGTGTGTCTCCTTTCTCCTCCTTCAAGCCTGCTTAAACAATATTCAGGGACAGATAAAAGCTGTAATCTTTTCAACATATATATGTGGTTCTGGTAGATTCCCGAATTGTGTTCCTGCTGCATTGTTTGTAATCATGCATGCTTCAGTGGTGTGATACTGAGATTACCAGATGTCTAGCCAGTTCAGAACCATAAAGATTTGAGGGTTTTGGGGTTTGAGGGTACYGTTAGTGCAACCTGCTCATAGAGTGGCTCCCTTCACAGTTGCTTGCTTGGGGCTTCACCTTGTCAAAATTGTAAAAAACCCTCAATCACTAAGGATAGAAACTCTGTAATCTCTTAGAACCCATGTCCCTTGCACTAGATCTCTCCTTCCTACTGCTGCCATTTTTCAGCATCTCCTAAAGTTGTTTTACATTAAATGTGCTTTCCAGAAAGACTTAGACTGACCTTCCAGCTTCTTTTACAGCCACCAAAACACTGAACAGAGGGATAGCAGAGTTCATTGTGATGGCAGCTGATGCGGAGCCCTTGGAGATCATCCTGCACCTCCCTCTTCTCTGTGAGGACAAGAATGTACCTTATGTGTTTGTGCGCTCCAAGCAAGCCCTGGGCCGGGCATGTGGTGTTTCCCGGCCAGTCATCGCCTGTTCCATCACCATCAAGGAGGGATCACAGCTAAAGCCTCAGATCCAGTCTGTACAGCAAGCTATAGAAAGACTGTTGGTCTGAGTGCCCACGACTRTAAGCGTGTGTGAAATAGAAAAATGTAAATTAGGGGAAATCAGTGTTCAGCTTCAATTGAGATGATAGTTTTGATATCAATGTTTCATTTCAAAATGCCACATTTTTGTTTAATAATGGCATAGTTCTTAGTGTTTCTGCCTCTTGTGCCCCCACTTTTSTATTATTCCTGTCCAACACATGCATTCTTACTGTATTACTTCTTGAAAAGTGACTGTAGAATCGTGTTTCCTGTTTTATGTTTAAAAGAAAGACAAAAAAAAATGGTCCCATCCTTGTCTTCCTATCTGCCTGCTCAGGGCTTTTTTAACCCACCTGTCAGCTTTCTCTGTGTTGCAGTATTTCTGCTAAGTTGCAGCCTCCAGCAGGTGTGAGCAACTGTGTTTTTGAAAGGTTTAGACTACTGAGGAAAATGTTCCCCCTGTTCAGGCTGCTGGAGACATTAAGTGATGGAGCAGCATAGGCTGGGTGTAAGGCAGGCAGCAGCTACTGTGTAGCAGGAGATGGAGTTAAGATCAGCACGGGTAACACAGTGCTTGTTCTTGAAACCAGACAAGAGACTTCTGTAAGAGATGCACAGGGAGTAGAAATCTTACGGCAGTACACAAGGGGAGCTCCCTTACCTTGATTATTTTTTAATACTGACTTTCTAAGAAAAAAATAAAAATGCTGCAAAGCTAAATAGAATTGTCATTTCCTTGGTGAAGCATTTGCAACTAACTGGAGTGATTCTGCATGTAAAGCTAAACTGCTCAGAGGTTGCCTAAAGGCTATTGGAGTGCAGTAATCTGTACTCCTTCAGTTTTCTTTGCATGGACTGTTATCACTGAAGCTGGGCTTCCTCGGGAAGTTAAGTACAAAACACATGGCAGAGAGCAGCCTGTTGTGTCTGACAAGTACCAGACATCTGGCTGTTAATTATAAAAAGTATGTCATGCTTTTTAGCTACTTCACTGTAGTCACCTGACTGAAGATGAACCCTTTTAAGTCATGGCCAAGGAAACAGAGGACAAGTAATTTTTCAGATAAATTAACCTCTGTCTTGAGGATGCTGTTATCATTTCATGTTCTAGAAAAGCATGGGGCACCAACAGCAGTCTGGATTAGTGGTATTTTTATGGACCTAGTTTTAGTTAAAGGCATTGTATAAGAAATCTATTACTTGCTCTGAGCAGAGAAGTCTAAACCCCTGTGTTGGAATATCAAACCTGTTTCCTATTGCAGGATGCCAAAGCAAACTTGTGTGGAAACACCATTAGGTGCAATAGCAGAAGGGAAAATAAATTTTCCTGTAATTTTTCACAGAGGACTAACTTCATACCTTTAGTCAGTACATCCCGAGCAGATGAAGTCAGCTGATGAAAAGACTGAAGACATGATGTTTGTATGTTTTTGTAAATGGCTGATAACAGTAATCCTTGCTGAAGTGAACTTCATACAAATACTCAAGTCCTTTTATTTGTATGCGGTTTAGAAGGGTTCCTGTTCCCTTCTACTGCTGCTGACTGTTGAGCTAGTTGTGTTTAGAACAACAGATTTGCTGAGGATTTGCCCTATTRTACTAAGACAGCTGATGTAAGAGAAAGCATAAGGAGCAGAAATAAAGGATACTTGAGCAAGCAAAACCGTCTCTTTTCCTGCTCTGAAGCACTCCATCACCATCCCTTTTATACTGCTATTTAATGTGATAGCCTGCTATTAAAAAAAAAAAAAAAAAAAAAAGCCAGGAGGCAGATCTAATAACCTACAACAAACATGCCACAATCATCCAAAGCCTGAAACATAGTGTGCCTGAGGGTTAGCGAGCCAAGAGAGATGTTAACAAGGGTATTTGCAGAATTCAGTTCACAGAGTTACACACAGGATGGTCTCACTATTCTACTCTTCAAGTCTTGCTAAGACAAGCATTTACAGTTACTTCTTTGCCAAGGGCAAAATTGATTGAGTGCTTAGATAAATCCCTATTAAAAACAACTAATTTARGCTGATTGAAAGTGTAACAGGTAATGTAGACTCAGTACTGCAGAGCTCAATGCAGGGTAGCTGCTCTCTCTGGAGGAGCTGTGGAGGTAGAAGTAAGTGTGCTGTCACAGCCAGGACRGTCACAGTCCCAGAAGAGTGGTCACAGCTGGCTCCAATAGCTGTGCCACACTGCACACTGGTCACAGGATAGTTTGTGAGCCACACATGGGAATCTCTGAAAACTAAAAACACTATGCAGACCAGAATGCAGACCTCAGGTATCCCATGTTTATATGCTGTAGAAAGTTAAAAGTTTCACTAAACAGTAATACCCTAAACCAAGGGCAACAACTGTTTATTGGTTTTAGTCATCTTACTCTGCAAGACAGGCAGGGCATGCCAGGCATGGAATCTAAAACTCAAAACAGCCCCAGCTGCAGCCTCCATAAGTATGATTTAAAAAGTAAAAACRCTGTATGTTACAAAGGCTCTCTCCACAATTTGCTCTTCTCCTATTTTTAAAGCACACACTTTAATAGAGAGGCCTGTGCAATAGTCTGACACATACAGAAGTGGAAAAGCTCTATGCCGTCTCAGTAATTTAATTGAGATAAATGCTTGCAGCCTTCCAGGGCACACTTTTTTTCCCCTTTCTTTAACCAGCTTTTGCTATTACCATTTAAAAATGGAAGACCGGGCTGTGCAGCTTTGTGAAGTATTAGCTTTTTGCCCAAGAGATTGGACACTGCTTTCCAGAAATGATTTTTTCTTTTAAGATCTGATGGTGATAGAGGAAAAGAACCCAATTTGATTACTAGTACTGATACTGGCTCCTTTGGAGAGTAATACACATTTATACCCTCCATTAGCATACAAACTCAACCTGCTGCTTGAATTCACGTGCTGTTAACATTGTGTTTTACAGTGCAGTGAGTTTTGCTGTCTTTATGACACAGAGACACCAYAGTCAGTGTTGCAAAGGAAAAAGTCCAAAATATCTTTTATTAAGAAACTAGCAAGGCACAACTGTTCACGTGCAGTGGGTGACCTAAGTTTACAGAGAATTTCTTTCTGCCTTTGTCTACTGTCAACAGAATCCCAACTTTGCAGAGAAGTTTCACAACTAGGAGTAAAAAGTTTCTCCACTGCTAGACAGAGCAACATTTAGTTGCCTTCTCTTTCACTGCAAGATTAAACAGACACAGCACCCACATAAGACAATCAAAATTCTAAGCAGACAGAAGTAAACCAGGGTTCTCCTCTCCAGTTTAGCGCTCATTAAAGTATTCAATTAAAGCGTCCATGAACTCCTGCTTCTTGCTTCCACCCCTCAACCCCAAAAACCTACATGCATCCTTCAGGACAGGTACAGTGAGCTTGCCTAGAGTGCCCTTCTGCACATGACTCCGTAGCTCATCTTTTGAGACTTCTATCTTGGGCCTCTTCTCAGTTTGACCATCAGAAGCTAGAAGGATACATTTTAGATCACAAAGATTYTTTAAAAATAGACATCATTGTTTCTTATACATACCACAGTTAATGGCCATTAGCACATCGTACTTTATCAGCCACACACTCAGAGACCTAGATTCCATGTTTTAAGAAACAAATGTCATTATGTAAGTCATGCAGTATTTCATTCATAGGAGTGATATTAACTGAAGTAGGAAACTTTGTGCTCCGATGACCCTCCAAGTGAAACTTTTAAGGGATTCTCATCAAGACAGCAGAATGCAACGATTCCACAGGGAGCTGAGCTAACTTCATGCAGGCTTTCAGAGACTCCCAAATTACATTACAAATGGATTTCAGCATTGCTTACACATTTAGCCCTAAAGATGCCCATCTTGCACTTGCTCAACAACCCATGCATAAAAGTCAGATCCTTCACCAACACAAACTGAAAGCATGAATGATTTTACTACTCTGTCATAAAACAGAAAGTTGCTAAATTATATCTACRTATTTTGCAGTCATTTACCTACGTTACTTCCTCTACTTCACTTTGCAGTTTGTCATTCTGGCAGTTCTCCAACCAGATACCACAGTATTCTCTACTCTCTGAATCAATACTGGATATAATAATTCATTGTGAAGATCAGCAAAGAGCTGTTGCACAAACAGCTTCTTTAAACTATGAGACAAACTGAACACAGAGAAGCTTCTAAACAGAATACAGACACTATGTTTTCTGTCTGCACCACCATTGCTTACCTTTTCGCTTTRTGGCCTTCACTTCAGGATTGTAGTCAGGGGGATAAACCAGCTGCTTAAACTCATCCACCAGGTTGCCCAGCCTGTGTCTCATCTGTTCAGACTTTGGCACTGGCAAAAAATAAAGATTTGTCAAAACAGTAATCACAAGAAAGTCTGAACAAGGCCATTGCTGTTGCCAGATGAACTATTAGCTGACCTGGTGGTAAAAATACAATGCTCATTACAGAAAACCACTAGCCTATGGAACCACACAATGCTGATTCTGTACAAACACAAACATTGAGCAAAAAGGAACTCACAAAATATGAACTAGGCTAGGTATGCCAACTCAGCTGTGTATTGGGAAGTAACCCCAGTTCATCAAGCACTCAGCTGTAACTTTGGTGCCTATGACCAGCAGAGAGACCCCTGGGACAGAAGAACCTGGAAGAACCAGAAGAACCTTCTCCTGGAATGGGTCCAGCAGAAGACAACAAAGATGACTGAAGGATTGTAACATCTTCCTTATGAAGAAAGGCTGATGGAACTGGGCCTGTTCAGCCTCCAGAAGAGAYGGCTGAAAGGGGAACCTCATCAATGCATATTAGTATCTGAAGGGAAGGTGTCAAGAACATGGTGCCAGAATCTTGGTGATGGCAAGCAACAGGACAAGAGACAGTGGGCAGAAACTGAGGCACAGGAAGAGCCTGAACGTGAGGAAGAACTTTAGTGGGCAGGTGACTGAGCATTGAAACAGGTCRCCCAGAGAGGTTGTGGAGTATCCCTCACTGGAGAAATTTAAGAACCACCTGGAACTAATCCTGTACAATGTGCTGAGGGATAACTCTGCTTGAGGAGGGAGGTTGGACCAGATGACCCACTGTGGTCCGTTCTCAGCTGACCCACTCTGTGATTAGAGATATGCAATGAACTCACATATATCCCTGCAGGAGATACAGACAGACAGACAGACAGGTAGATAAGAGAACAAAACTTACACAGTGGAAGTGACGTAAGTGATCTACCTGATGGTTTTGGCTGGGGTAGAGTTAATTTTCTTCTCAGTGGCTAGTACAGGCCTGTTTTGGATTTGTGCCAAACAGAGGGTTGATAATACAGTGATGTTTTTGTTATTGYTGAGCAGGGCTTACACAGAACCAGGGCTTTTTCTGCTTTTTATACTGCCATGTTGACAAGGAATTTGGGGGAACCTGGGAGGTTGTGAGAAGACACAGACAGAACAGGTGACCCCAACTGGCCAAAGGGATATTCCAGCCCGTATCCCATGCCCAGTATATAAAGCTGGGGGGAAGAAGGARGAATGAGGGACGCTGGGGCCCTGCTCTGCTGGAGGTGGCTGAACACCTGCTGGCCCATGGGAAGCAGTGAATTAATTCTTTGTTTTTCTTTGCTGGTGTGTGGCTTTTGCTTTCCCTCTTTAACTGTCTTTATCTCAACCCGCGAGTTTTCTTTTACCCTTCTGATTCTCTCCACAATCCTGCTGCTTGGGAGTGACCAAGCAGCTGCCTTGGGTTTGACTGCTGGCTGGGGTTAAACCACAACACTAGGTCTAATCTCAGAATTTTAAAATAGAGCAGGTTACTATCAAATGCTGCAAGTAGTTCGAGGTAGAACAGCTTGTTTGTGTCATGTATGATATCTAGCACAGAGACCTAACTGGTTTGTTAGGTATCACTTCATAAGAGACAAATAATTCTTCTAACACCATTCCAGAAGAACAAGATAATTTTAAAAATGGAACTTCCCCTTCAGGAGCAAGGTTCTATACTTTGATAAGACGCTTACAAATAAACTCTCAGARTCACTAGGTGGCAGCATTGCCCCCAGCAGAATAATTAGCTTAATTCTGCCCAGTTATCAGACTGAAATATTAATGAGAATCTTGAAGAAAAGAATTTCAGAGAAAAAAAATTGTCACCATAGAAAAAAAAGGTGATTAAATTTTAATTTTGGACGGTAAAGTGAGCCATGTTTTCTTTACCTTAAAAGTGACAGCAATAGAAAATAAAGGTTCAGTATTTCAGAATGGACACATCCAGAATTCTACATAGTGGAACTGCACACAAGTGAAACATTTTTAAAAGGTATTTGGGTTTCTAATAGCACATATTTAACTTAAAACAAAGTCATGAGTCCTCTATCCTGCCTSCCTTCACACCCACCAATAATTCTCACTTGTAAGATCCTCAGCTTGTTCTGGTTCCATCATATCCAGTGCCAAAGCCTCCAAATTCCTGAAGTGYTGCTGCAAAACTGGGTTCTCGAAGCTGTCAGTCCTGTCAAAAATCCCCCAAAAYGTCAATGCATGCTGCCAAGAAGATAGACAAAACACCAACTTATCTACCACCAACTTATTTCAGAATAAAACTTCCCTCTTTCCCATGCAACAATCCATCACATCAGAAYTGCTTTTACTATTATCAATTTACCTGCTGAATCACTATCCTTCATGTATCAACCACATAAGAATGCTATGTGAGAGTTAGAAAGCTGTGTGAGGCAGAAGGGACAGTGGCATTATAATTTAATACAGTTGTGGTGGCTTCCACATACCTAGGAAAAGAATCTCCCAATTAAGTACTTCATAGTATTTATCCCAGCTATAATTAAAAAGAGGCCTAACTCTTCTTTCTAGTGCTCTAATTTAATTATCTGGGTCTGATCTGCAATAGAGTGGCAGAACCACAATAAAATGTGATACCTCTGCAACAAATGACAACAGCCCAGAGAACAAGAGCAATTCTACAAAGAACTCCAGAACGTGCTACATAAAGCATTGTACTGCCTGAGTATCCAGAATGATTAAGCTTAAAGTCTGGACAAAGCTACTGCAAAGAGAAGCGATTTCTATCAAAATACATCAAAATCTCATCTCAGGGACACCACAGCTGAACAACATGCAACAGAGCAAGCAATGGTTGWGCTTCCTTCCCCATGCCACCCTTTGCACCCTTTTTTATCTCCAAGTACCTGTATTTGAACCTCAGCTTTTGAATTATTTCCTTCATTTTGTCAACCTGCTCTTGGCTGGCTGGCACATTTTCAGTAAAATCAACATTACGTTTGTCATCTGCATAGGGTAGAAAAATCATGTGGAAACCTATACAGAAGAGAGAGAGGAAGACAACAGTTACACAGAAGCATGGTCTCAAAACAATAATTTATGGGAAAGACCAAGATGGTTATTATCTAAGTCTGATGTCTCCAAACTATCTACCTGTTTTRTTGTAAACAATAGCAATCTATAATACTTCCAAGTGCGTACAGCACGACACTCAATCCCAATCTCAGTGTTTATAACCAGCATCACTAATGGCTTTGTGAGAGAGATTCAAACTAAATTCATAACTAGCAGTTGGATACTGTGACTTGCTCTTTATGCAGGACATCAACCACTCTACCTTCCCATCTCTTACTGCGCATAAGACTGAAAAAGATTTGTTTGAAATTCAAGTTATTGCCCACATTATTCTAAAATGCTTTACTTTGTACACAAGCAGTGTTACTTCCCTACTTCACATTCTCCCATAAGACAATTTTGCACTTAAAGAGGTGAGAAAAAGCAAAAGAGCAGGAGGATGCTCCCTAATCATTCTCCACTAGGCTGATGTGGAATGAGGCTCACTATGTGAGATTATTTGATCAATACTTTACAATATATTCATGGATACAATATAATTCAGGAAAAGACATTCTGTCTAGTCTTCAAACAGGAAAAGAAGGCTTTTAATTTCTGTATCAGTTATTTGAATCTGCTAAAAAGAGGTAGGTGGCAGGCAAAACACTGCAGCCAGGTCGTACCTGAGCAAGCACTGATGCAATTAGGGCTTTAAAAGCAGATTCAATATCAGATGCTTACACTGACAAAACTGAAGAAAAGGGATGCTGGAAAGCATTTTCCCCAGTTTCAAGGGAGCTAGCATTAAGAATATTTTCACTCAATACAGGACACTATTACACTGACTGCATCCAATCATGCAGGGAAAGGTGGCATCTCTTCCCATACCTGGAGGGGCTATCTGCACTTTCTGCTCATCCACCTCTTCCTCCTGGGGAACCAGGACCACAAAGCGAGGAGGGATGTTCCGGCGAGCAGTGTATCTGCACAGCATCATCATCTCCCTCTCCAAGCACTTCATCAGCAAGGCATTAAATAGCACTGTACTGCCTACAAAGGAAATAGTGGATTAGTCAGACTCACAGCTTTGCTCCTTTGTTCTGGAATATAACATTAGATACTAGGCTTTCAAAACCTGTGACTTCTTTGAAATGCTTGCATTATGGTGGAGATAAAAAGGAAATTTGGAAGGGGAGAACACTCAAAATGGACAATGTTAGCGAGTCTCTCCTGGCCAGCAGTGAGAGCTCTGATGGAAGAAGTGAAATCACTACCACCTGAGCAATGAAACACTGTGTAATTTAATGCACAAAGTCTACTTCGGTTGGTGGACATCACAGTAGCAGCATTATCATAGGACCTTCTACGGAAGTAACACAAAGAATTCAGACTTCAGTATTCTTCCTGAAGCACATGTTTGCTGTTTCACCAGATATGGTGGTCAGGGAAAGACTGATGTAAGTGGTTGAGCMAGGAAACTGCAAAGTTGGAGAAGGGAGCATGAGGGTTTTTCTTTAGTCAGACACTGTAAAGTATTTGGTCGTAACTCAGCCCTCTTTATCCACTGGCAGACTGAGGAACTAAAGCTTTTTTCTTTACTATTGCAGCTTGGAATGTATTTTTTAGATAAATAGACTTATGCATACACATAAATAGGTGAAAATAAACAGTTCTAAACGTCCTCTCCTTCTCTCTTTACAAGACTGTATGGTGCTGTTAATTCAAATACTTCCTGAGCATTATGTTTCCACTCCTAGCTGATAYGGACATAAAATCAGCAAAATTATCTCCACTGGTTTGGTATTTTGGTTTTTATTGTTTTGTTGTTATTTGGTTAGTTTTGTTTAGTTTTTTTAAACCATCTTTGCCTTCTTGTCAGGTAGTAGGAGCCTTCACTTTCAAGAATGGCAAAACCAGGTATTTTGAGTCTACATCTGCATGGTTTAATTAGCTGCTTGTCATGATGGATAAACATGAAGCATAATTGGTTCTTCTGCTATTAAGAAAACAAGAAATATCTGTAGCTGAGAGGGGACTAAGTTAATGTGATCATTCTTAATATTAGCAAATTTTTAAGTTAGACAAAGCTTTTACACTCCATGATCCCCACTCAAACACATGATGAATCAGCTGGTTACACTAATGCAAGCAGGTAAATCTCTTGCCATCTTTGCTTACCTTTCACCAGGGACTCCTCAGGATAGATGAACTGGGATGGCCTGATGTGGTGGTGCTGTTTCAGCGTTGAAAGTGGTTTGAAACCAATCAGAAACAAACCTGGAGAATCGAACCGTTTTATTTCTTCTGTCTCTTCTTTCTCCAGCACAATCTGTCGGTTTCCATATGTCTAAACCAGGGAAAAGCAGATGATAGAGCTGCCAGCATAAAAAAAATTGGGAACGAGGAGACAGGACAGGGCAGGAAGAGGATGCAATTGCTGYGTTCCACTACTGAAAAGAAGGTTATAGATAAGATAGTGTAAACCCTCATGAGTAGTGCATTCCGAACTGGTAAATCACAGTCTGTGACCATTATCCCAAGGGAAATTGTAMCTGAATATCAGTAAAATGCACTTTTCTAGGACAATGGTTAAGCCCTGATAGAGAGAGGCTGTCACATCTCCTCTCTATAGTTCTTTAGAGCTGTCCCAAACAAACCCTGAGCAATCTGATCTGGTTTTGTGAGTCCAGCTGTGGGGCTGGATTTGACCAGACTTTTTCAGAGGTCCTGTCCAATTGTAAACTTGCTTCAGCAGATGCATGTCAGCTACCTACTCCTGAAAGAAACAGTGACTGAGAAACAATGCTTCTGAAGCACCACTCATGCATCACAAAATCAAAACAATATTATAGTCCACCTGCTGAGGTTAAGACATCAGAGCTTAATGCTCAACTTTCTGTTCTCCTCCTATAATTTCAAGAAACTAATACCCAGTATAAATAAACTTAGCATTTCATTTTAAGACAATAACTTCAAGAGCTTTTAACATGGAAGGACACACAAAGTTCACTTGTGACAGTACACCTAGCAACGAAATAACCTATTTTGAAATWAGGCTGTGCCTGATCAGAATGTGACACTCAATTTACAGCAGCCARGAAGGCAAACAGGAAGGCAAACCACAGATAAATATATAGAAGAATCTCCAAAGGTAACATGCCTTTTGTATGGAAAAGAGATGCAACCCTCTTGTGATTCACACTTGTACATTTAACAAAATGGAGCAGATCTATCCCTAATGAATCAAAAGTTGTCAGCAGCAACAATGGCACACGGTCACATAAGGTCAGGCTCTGACAACCTGGTTTTGCCTTACAAGAAAGAAATGACCTGTGTTCCTGACAGCATTTCCACCAGCAGCTATGCCTTTCCATGACAGATCAGGGAAGCAACCCACTCTCACTCTGCAGAGTTCACAACATGACCAGGCTGTCCCCAGGGGCACACAGATGCAAATATTTCTGYATCTCATCTTGAAAGTGCAATACAAACAAAAGCAGCAAGAGAACTGGCACCTCCCTCACATATTACAGAGACAGAAAAAAGCATGCACATAATCAGTATGTTACCTGAGCCCTTTTAGTATCACTGGGCAGGAGCAAGCTGCCTGTTTTTCCATTAAATGTCCTTGTTTTGGTTTTAACTGGTTCATTAGTTTCCCGATAAAGCTTCACTGGATATGGTTTATAGGCTTTTTGAACAAGGTTGTAAACACCAACAGAAAATGCTACATCATTGCTCAGATGCAGATTTAGCCTGTATAAAAAAGCAGATATGAACTTGAGATTCCTGAAAAATCACTAATGCAGAAGAAAATCACCTCCTCATGTTATTTCCTCTGACCTCCTCCTGTTCTCCTCCCCCAAAATCACATACATCTTTGGAAACATACTATCACTTGAGTCATAACCTCAGTTGCATAAAAATATTCTTGCAATATCATCATTTCTGGTCATAAAAATTACCTAAACACCAGTAATTTATCACATTTCTTTTACCCTTTCTTCCACTGAAGGGCAGCTATGCTCAAACAGAGCACAGGACACATTTGTGTACCCCAATTATGCTTAGTGTAATGTCCATGAATTCTCATAGCTATTTGTGATACGATACTATGATATCGCCCCTCCAAAACCCACTAAGAAAACAATACCAAGATTTAAGAAAAAATGTAAATCAGAGGTTAGAGAAAAAATTAGAATGTTTCAAATTAGAGGTAATCTTAAAGTTAKGAGAGCAGAACAGTGAGTTATTAGGAATGCTACTTCCTCCCTTCTAAAAGGTRTCACTGAAATGGGATTCTTCCTCCCCAAATATTAGAAAACTTGAGGAACATTCCCAGAAAAGAAAAATAAAGCTACGAGCTGGAGCTGCCAGTGACAACAGATCAGGTTGGGATACTTTATAAATATTTATATTATTAATTAATATTAATTACTTTATTAATATTTYWATTTATTTATTCATTTATTTAGGCTTCATAGTGCTGCCACATCATTCTACTATGAACTCGCTCCCTAAAATAAACAACTGTTATGGACCATGTGGTTCCAAAAATACTTCCTATCTGCTTTGGCAAGATCCCTTTAATCTCTCTTAAGTATTTCTAATCTTTTAGTAGAAGATTAGAAATATCAAGGCTGTGTGAATCCATGCCAAGTACCTAGACTGGCAACATATAAATATTTAATAATAGGCCAAAATAACTACCATTCACATTCAGAAAAAAAWTTTTAAAGTTAACGTTGGCAAGAAAAGCCTAATTCCAATTTCAGATTTCACTATAAATAATTTTTTATGTTGCAGATTTTTAGGGAAGTACTTAGCAATTATGTAATGGTCTGACAAGTGATCATTCCTGGCCAAGCTCAATACAGGAGATATCACACAGAGGAAAAAAAAATGGGGTCCATTCTGCTCTTCTCATCCACAAATATCCTTGGAAACTGCAGAAGAAACACCAATCTGAAGAATTAAGATTGAGGAATGTAAGCACTGATGCCTTTAAAGACATATCATTCCAGAAGAGGAAAGTGAGATGCAGTCTGAAAACAACACCAGGTGTCTCCACTGAATGATGCATTAGGCACAAACCTGACTAAAGTCCTTTTCCTTGTCTCCTTTGCTCGTACTTTCTTCATGAGATGTTCCAGTTTCTCTGACTCTTCAGGATGGATCCCAAGGTCCTCATCCTCTGCTACATTTATAATATCCCTGTAGAACAAAGAAATATCAAACCCTCCAGGCTTCTTCAAGTGCATCAAGTCCAAGATGATACCTAGAAACAATGTAAAAGATACGAACAGGATCAGAAATTGCTTTTTTCTTGCATCAGCATTTATGTGAGCACTCTCAGATTTCTCTATCTACTCAAATAATTTAAGTGAGAATGAGCTCCGAATTGCCATCTGCACCAGACATGAAATTTTCTAGAGAAAGGGGCAATTCTAGCCCCTCTCTAGGGAAAGAGGCAAAAGACCTTCTTTAACTTCAGTCAAAATAATGCAGAATAGAAAATGTTTCCTCTCTAATTAAGAATCTGGACAGCATTGAGTATGAAATGACTCTGATAAGCTCCTATGAAACATGATCTTACCTCAGGCATAGAGGGTAGTAACAAAGTTCCAAAAATCCCTTCTCCCTAAGTTATCGGGGCTAACAGATTAAGGAAGCCTCACAGCTTCTAGATGCAGGACATCTGCTGAACTCCAAAAACACTCGTTACCTTGGCTACACAGTTGAACTAATGAGGCACTTGCTGTYTACTCTCTGAGCTCAGGCTGATGTCCTTCAGCTAATTCAAAATGGAGCCAATAAAGTAATTTTCCTTTTGTGTTAACTTGGAGTTATTATTCCCTTCCTGGAAAATGGTACAACAACCAAAGAGGTTTTTTTTTGGCCCTCTCATGTCCCCATTTATGCTGTCAAACTAGAAAGAGATCCTAGAAAATAATTGCTAGCTGTTGGATACCAGATGAGAAAACAGATTTTCTAATTTAGACACCAAATTTCTAATTTAGAAACTTTCAGGCGGATTCCCCAGTTCTGAAGATTTTACAGTTTTTTCATCACGAACTAGCAATGCAGTTAACATCTGCTGCAAAGACACAACATGTTTATTCTGCCTGAAATTACTGACCCGTGTCTCTCAGATCACCAGCTCTGATCCTGGCCAGCTTGGCTTTGGCACTATCATTGGCATGAGGATCATCCTCGTTGGTGAAGAGCATGATTCTTTTGTGGCTCAGCCTGACTCGGACATCACTGAAGAGATTCGAGCAGGCCCAGAGTGCCTCGCCCAGTGAATAGTCAGCGTTGTGGCCAAAGTTCTCCCGGAAAAGTGCTCGTCCATCATCTCCCCTGTATTGGTCCAGCTCTAGAACACGTTTTGCACCTGGAGGGGCAACAGCATACACATGCATTAGAAATACTGAAATATAAGCTCTTCTAAACATGCACCAGGGTTCCTTGCAGCTGATGTCTGAGTAATGTTCCCAAACACCTCTGTGTGAGTGCCCTTCCAACACCTGGCTGAGAAGATTGCCCAGCACGGCCTAARATCTGCAATATCACAAGCCAGTTACCACTTATGAGTCCTTCTAGGGTCAAGAGGACATGAAATGCCCTGGCACCAATGTGGGCTATTTCTGTGGGGAAGGAAAACAAGCAGGGATCAAAGTATTGCAAACCTTCTACACTGAATGACAATGGCTCAGCAGCAAAGGTAGCAAACTGCATCCGCTGCAGAGGTATTGCACACTGCTGCACCACCACAGAAAGGAGGAACCTGAAATGCATCCTGCATTTCCACATGCTGGGAAGGTGGAAAGCTCCTCCTCCTCCCTCAGCCCTTGTGTCAGAGAGGATCCACCCAAAGGTGAGATAAAGCCTACAGATCCCACATTGAGCATAGCAACATTCAGGTCAGGTGTCCACAGCCTTGATGCAGCTCTGAGGATTACTCCAGCCCACCTATGACTCCTTTTCCCACCTGTCTAACAGCAGGTCCTGTTTTCTCCCGTTATTCTACAAAGGGAGTCAAGCTTTCATTTTTCAGCCACTGCATTCTTCTTTTTGCAGAGCTTCTTCCTTTGCCCTTCTCTTAAACTCTGTAGCACTTACAAGATCTCATTTGAAAATGTTTTCTTCTCCCTTTACTATCTTATTTCCATTTCCTCATCTCTTCTTTAATTAATAATGTAAATGTTCAGAATTATGTACTCCATAATAACCCCCTGTAGCATTTCCTTCTTCTCCAGAGCACACTGCTCTCCAGGGGCAGAAAATATACAATCCTCTTCCTTTTGAAAAACACCCTCTTTCACCTGCACTGTTTTTATCAGCATGGCAAGGCTGCTGCCTCTAACATGGTGGAAAGGGCAAGCAGGAAAGGAGGAAAATGGAAGTGCAGGACCTATAATCCACTATCTGCCAGAAAAGGGAGAAGAACCTAAGGCAGTCCTGTCAGGTCTTGATTGCAATTAATAAAAAAAAAAAAATAGGACAATACACAGTTCTTTCAGAAGAAGCCCCTGTGTCATTAAACCTGCACCCCCTAGTTAAGAAAATTAAATCAAACCTCCTCAGAGATAAAGGCTGCTATTAAAAGTTGTAGACAAAATTCCCCCAGAAGACTCTCCACCATCACACAATCTGTCACTACTAGCATGTATTCTTTGCATTCCTACTGTCTTTTTCAAGTTCAGCAACCAATACTTGTTATCAAGCAGATGCTATGTAATTCTAAGAAAATGAAAGAGTAAAAYCAAAGAATTGCAGAACTTATTATGAAAATAAGAGCTGGAACATCCCAAACAAGATAACATATTGGACCACCTGTTCTAGCTGACACTGCTTGAACAGGAGGGCTGGATGGAATGACCTCCAAAAATCCCATCCAACCTCAGCCATTCTGTGATGGGATTCAGCCATCAGCTGGAATCCATGGTGCCTTAGCATAGACACACCCTTTTCTCATGGACACTCTAGAGTTCTGTTGAGATACTTTTAGGTTTAGCAGACAGCAAGTGAAGCCACCGCATTAAAATAGAAGAAAAGGCATAGAAAAGGGATCTGAACCAACTATAAGAGAAAAAGCTGGACTCTAACGAAGTTTCTAAGTTTTCAATAAATACCTAAATCWATTCCTCACCACAACCAATGGATTTCAGTAACAAGAACTTACCTGATAGCTCTCTGATTTTAGAGAGATCACTTACTAATAATACTACTATACTGATTTCCTTACTCCATCTTTTTACACAACCCTCATACCACTTTACCCGGATTGTCCAGCTCCTGGAGAACATAAATGTGCTTGAAATCTGCCGCGTTCTTGTTGTTTTCTGTACCAAAGAACACAACACTTAAGAGGTCCCTCTCACTGCTGATAATTTTGCTGGTATACACATTCCGGATGCACTGAAAAAAAACACAGGTCAAAATTAGAAGAAAATAACTTTCAGTAAAGAGCGTGGAAATTTTGCCTTAGGCAGTCAGCAGTTTATTCATCCTTACCTGGATGGTCATGTCGAAGGGAATCTCTGCGTCCCCTTCGGACTCAAACATGGCCTTGGAGGCRTCCACCAAGAAAATGAGGCTGTCCCGGCCCGAAAACTTGTGGTCCGCTGCGGAACGGGGGGAAACAGTTTCAGTAGCGGCCTCCTCTGCCCGCGGAGCCCCGAGAGCAGGCAGCGGGCCCCAGGCTGCCCTCTGTGAGGGGGTGGGGGCCCTTACCGGCCGCTTCAGCCCCCTCCTCCTCTTCTTGCTGCAGCTCCTCGTCCTCCTCCGGCCCCTCGCCCCGGTAGAACGACCCCCACCCGGCCATGGCCTCCGCGGCACGGCCACCGGAGCGGCTGCGCTCGGACGGCTCGAGTCAGACACAGCGCCCGCGCCACACGGCCCCGCCCACAGCCAGCCRTGGCCGCTCCTCAGATCGCCCCGCCTTCGGAACAACGCTGACCAATGGGGAGAGCGGGACTACGCTGGGCCCCGCCCAGTCCTGTGAAGACRCCCCGCCCCTCCGCGTGGATTGGTTGTAGTGGGGTAGAGAGGGGCGGAAGCTCCTCACGCGCTGCGCGCGGCTCCGTGCCTCAGCCAATAACGAGGCACCTGTCTGTCCCTGCCCCCCTGTAGCTGTAGCTGTAGCTCCGCCCCCTGGCAATGCTGCGCAGTGACGGGGCGGCCCGGCAGGCGCGGGGCTGCTACGCATGCGCCCGGGTGGYGTCGCCTCTTCCGCCCTGTCTGTCACTTCACGGCTGGTGCCGCTGCGCCGGGGAGCGGCCCCGGGGCCGCCCTTTCCTCCCGTTGCCCTCCGTTTCCCGGAGGGAAGGGCCGTTCAACCTTGTCAGCTAGGGCTCCGGCTGCCGTCCAGCGGCCGTGCCCGCGCCCTCATGGAGGAGCCGCTGGCGCTGCATCCCGTGAAGCTCTATGTGTACGACCTGTCCAAGGGCATGGCCCGTCGCCTGAGCCCCCTCATGCTGGGTAAGAGCACGGCGGGGGCCGCCGCCTCCCGGGGGCTCGCGTTCCTCCACCGACYGCCGCGGCCCGGCTCTCCGGCGCCGGGAAACGGGACTGAAGTCGCCGCCTCCTGCCCCGCGGGTGGCGATCCCGCCCGGCATCGTTCTGAGGGAGCGGCCCGCCGGGGAAGGCTCCCTGAGGGCGCACCGTGCGGCGGCGGTGTCCGGCGGGGACGTGCGGGGCTGGCCTGGGGACTCGGTGCGTGAAAACACGGCGGGGTTTGGCTGCAGTATTCCTGTTCCCGCTGTCTGCGGGACGAGCTTTGTCAGTACGGTACATCCAGCTCCTCTGGGTTCAACCTCTTCTCCTACATCCGCCCGTTGCCGCTGCGTCGCTGGTATTTACTAACGGCAGATTAAAAGTGTTCCTTGAAGTGAGGGACAGCTTAGTTCAGCTCTCGATAGCACGTGAAGTGAGGGATAGTTCAGCTCTCGACTCCCCGGCAGCTGTGGCGCCGCGGCAGGAAGGCTGAGCTGGAAGAAAGGCGCCTGCTGTTTACCGGGTTATTGAGTTCGAACGGCTACATGTTGTGGCGAGGCCGGGCTGGGTTAATGATGTGCAGCCATCCGCCCTCTCCTTCTGAGAGTTTGTAGGAGTCTGCTGTATCGAGGACTCTCGTCGAGAGTGTGTGCGTTTCCAACCGAACCTGAAACGTGGGATGGAAAGGAAACAGCTTTTGCYTAAAGTTTGGAAGCATGAATTAGGAATGCAACAAGAGAGTGTTTTATACCTGTTATAAGCAGACTCTGGCCCGTGTCAGACCAACAGTCTGTGTGGGATGAGACTTCTCAACAGGCTCAGTGTCTGAACAGATGGCTCTGTGTAATCTTGTTTTACAGTTTGTTGGCATTCACTTTGCTCATCTGCCCTGTGAGGAGATTCTGYGATTTCCTGCAAGTTTAAAATGAAAGTCCAGACAATTCTTAGCCTGAAATTTCATGCATGTCAACGATAGGTTTGCAAAGTTGAGAAGATACATTACAGAGATCRTGTGTGTTGTGTTCTGTTAGCTAGACAGTAGCAACAGCTTTGGGACATGTGGTTTTTCCTGCTCTGGATAACCTCAAAACGTTTTACGTGGTCAGAGTTGCTTCTGTTGTAGACCTTAGGGGAGTAACTTTTCACCTATTAGGTGAAATGGCCATGTTTTATCATGCTAAGAGTTATAAATCTTAAGATAGAGATTACGTGGGTGCATGATTTACTCGTGTTAYAGTTGAATAGAATTTAACCACTCCTRTTTCAAAATGTTGGTCCAAGCAAATACTTTAATAGAGATAGGTTGTCACTGTAAGTAKCTCCATGCCAATCTTCCCATAAATCAAGCTAAGACTTTTTAGCTACCTTCTTACCAACAAAGTCAATCTTGGGATCTTGTAGCCTTCTGAATTTCAACACAAAAACTTTTAGTGTATGACTTCATTTTTGGTTCTTTCTATGCTGTTAAAACAACTTGAAAACTTTGTGCTTGTGTTATAGTTTGGTGGTAAGTTTCTGGGAGTATGAGCAGTGAAAAGGAAAACTTAAAAACCCAAATACTTCTGGGTGGTAGGGGAAGTGCTACTCACTAGTACTGCCTGGTAACTGAGTTCAGATGTGTTCATGGAATGCAGCCAACTAGGCCCGCGTGGTCACAGTGACAATGCAGACTTCAGAATATTTGCGATTATGTGGATCCAGTGACATGATTGTCCATAAAACAAATGATTCTTTTTTCCTTCCCTTCCCTTCCCTTCCCTTCCCTTCCCTTCCCTTCCCTTCCCTTCCCTTCCCTTCCCTTCCCTTCCCTTCCCTTTCTGTCTTCTGTGCATTTGCACTCAACTGGGTTCCAGGTGATTTTGGGAACCTCCCCAAAAGCCAAGTGATCAGAGAATACTCCTCTTGCCTCATGTATAGACATTTTTTTACCTTGAAGAACAGCAAGAAAACTTTTGCTATTTCTCTGCATATCAACTTTCAGAGGGTCAATTGGAACTTTTTCCTCAGTCATGTTCTTAAACTGTAGGTCATCAGGCAAACTCATAGAAATTGAAGAGGAAGGATTTACATTTGCTATCTCTACTTACAGTATTCTTTTCATCAATGCCAAGCTTGAAACAATGCTTTTGCTTTGAGTGATAGCTCTGTAACATTGCCTAAATTGAAATACTTGTGTTTTAGAAAAAAAAAAATACTGTAATTGATTGTGCTAAAATCAATTTCTGCCAGGCTTGAAAACAGCAGCTCAGGTCCCCTTGCCAGAGGGGGATGAATCCTGTCTTATGGGACTGACCACTGTGAGAGCATCACTGCACTGACTTCTGTTGTGCCAATAGGATCCAGAGGTATTGTGGACTATGTCAGCACAGCCTGTAAGGATCAGCTCTCACTACTAAATGTTATACTCACTTTTTCAGTATCAGTTCTCTCTGTTATCATTGAATGATGAATCTGAAAGGGAGAGATGTTTAACACAGTTCATAGCAGGCTTTAGAGTGACTTAGTCTTGTCCCTTGGGCATGTCTTTGTTTTTCTTGGCAAGTTTATTCCTTTTCTACCCAGACTGCTTTTATTTTTTGTATTTTTATGTAAGTTTCCTGTAATTTTTCAGTGAATATTCACTGAATGTGGATATGTATGTATGTGAATATGTATGTATGACCAAAAATTTTAGTTCGATTGCCTTTGGTATCAGGAAGCACCATATTTAATTTTTATGCTTCTCTACATGCATCTTCTCAGTAGTTACTGTTTGTCCTCTCTCCCTCATTCTCTCTGTGACTACATTTGTCTGTTCAACTACATGATCTAATAATAAGAAATGTTAACCTGAATGCAGTAAGATTCCTGTTGTCAAGACAGAAAACATAATCCACCTGACTCTCTGGAGGGTAAAGARGAAAATAGAATAGTTCAGCTTGCAATGCTGATTTTGAAGTAGATGTCCAAAGGTAGAGGAGTCTTTAAGGAAGATTTAARTCCTATTGCATCATAGGCTTAAAGAAAAATGTCTTGCAGCTCTTGAAGTTCTCCTGACCTTTAAGTGAGGGTATTGCTTTTGTAACTCACAGAATGAGCCAGGAGCTTGATTAACCACAGCAGCTTTGGCTCTGTGTGGTATCAATTAATGTTGAGTTGACTGGGAGTACATTTTGGTTGAAATTTCTAAGCGATGCAYTCAGCTGTAGGGATTTAACAGCCCAGAGGGAATTGGAGCGAAAGGTAACTGCTGAAAGGAGGTGCCTTCTGCTTGGTTCCATTTTCCCAGGCCCAGCACATTTCTCTGCCTCTCCTCCATCTGCTCTGAACAGTTTTGAATTGCTTCAGCAATTCAGGTATWCTATCAGCTTTGCTCCCAGCATTTGCCGGTGCTTTCATGAAAATCGCRTCTGTTACCTTCCCCCAATCTAGCCTACTTCTGAGTCTCTCTAGGCATCTCAGGAAGAAGGGAATTAAAGCAGGCTCCTCCCTCTCCATTAGGATTTTCTTTTTGCTTTGGTTGAGCACCCTGMGTAGCACATAGGAGAAAATGCTTGACTAATTGCTTGCCTAATTACAGTAATTTTCAGTTCAAAAAAGCAGAAATCTTAAGGGATTGTTCTAAGGAAATTACAACAATATGCAAAGCAATACACTGCTAGAAATACCCATGSTGGTTGACAAAAATTGTATTACTTTTGATTCMRCCGGAGACCAGTTCACTACTTTTTTATGGTCTTCTGGGGCTTGTAAATCCATGGCAAAGCATAGCTACTTTGTGATAGATACTGAGCTTCCTATTATTTCTTTACAGCTGAAAAGCAGGTGTAGATCTTGCACTGAGATTGGATGGCCTAAACTCAGAATGGGGTAAACTAAGAGCCCATATGCATATACACTTCCTTYCCTCATGTCTCAGAACTCTTCTGCCCTTCAGCATAATAATTTGGATTAATAGACAAATGCCACTTTCATTTGATATTTAAAATGCACAGGAATTATCAACATTGTTTGGCCCTCAAGATTAATAAATTGCTGTGATTGTAAAAAAAGATTGGTGAGCACCTAATCTCCCTTGTGCTTGGCCTTCCAGATAAATCCAAGCATGGAAGTAATCCTGTTTGATTGTATTCTAAAATTGTATGGGCATGCTTGCTTCTTTCAAAATACCCCAAGTATCCAAACAATTACAGWCTCCTGAGTTTATTTTACAAGAAACTAATCTAACTACTTCATTCTCCATGTTCCTGTGACTAAGCTGGGGGTCCTGGTATTGTTTAATGTATTTGAATGTTATATTTTTCTCATAGGTTTATGGCTCATGTAAACTCCATGAAAGTATTTGAGCTGTGAATGTTATAAAGAAAATAGAATAACAAATATAAAAACTGGTTTATTTGCCAGATGATACTATGCCTTATTGAAACAAGTTGAAGCTCTGAGATGCCTAAGCATATAGATTTATGCTGAATTGGCATCCCCTCCCAGGTTCTAATGAGTATTTTCAGAAAGAGCCCCAGAAGCACATCAGCAAGGAAAAATAAAAAAGTAAATAAACAAAACCATCCCCAAACAAAAAATAAAATAAAACCCAAGAGACTTAATGATCATGTTTTCAAACATGACAGGCTATCACCCTAAACTCTCACAAACAACACATTAACTTTTCATGTCCATGTTAATAATCTGTGACAAAACCAAGGTACCTTGTCTTGCACTAGCTTCGAATAGATGCAGATCAATCTAAGTTGATTTGCTTTGCATTTACTTCTGGCTGAGTTGGCACATAGGCAATTTCTGTGGGAGAGCTGATACCTGATAACCTGGCCATGTGCCATAAATGTTGTGTGATTAAGTGTGTACATCTAAGTTTGCACCAACCTTTCCTGTTCAACAACCCCCTGTCCTATGAAATATTTAAACACGCTAGCATCTTGCTTTTCCCTGTTTCACCTGGATAATAGAATCACAGAATAGGTAAGGTTGGAAGGGATCAAACTGGGTTATCTAGTCCAACCTCACTTCTCAAGCAGGGTCATCCCAGAGCACATTGCCCTGAATTACTTCCAGAGGGTTCTTGAATATCTACAGTGAGAGAAACTCCACAACCTCTCTGGGCAATCTGTTCTAATGTGTCATTACCTGTAAAGAAGTTCTCCACATGTTCAGATGGCTCTTCCTGTGCCTCAGTTTGTASCCATTGCTTCTTGTCCTGTTGCTTGGCACCACTGAGAAGAGCCTGGATCCATCCTCTTGACAYCYTTCYTTCAGATATAGTAAGTTCCAAAAAAAGCATCATCCCATCAGGACATTCCTGTTCTRTGTTACAAGCATGTGCTTCCTTTGGATTAGCTTTGCTTTAGGTATTGAGTGAAGGGCAGCAATTTAAGGCTGTAAAGGCTTTTGCAGCTCTGACGGAAATTACTGAAGAATRAGACTTCTCTATATAGTGATAGCCTCAGGTTATGTGTAAATGGGTTGGTTTTGGTGGCAGTACCAACACACAGTTCTGCCCACCTTGCAGTTTGGTGTGTTGTGGCAAGGAGTGAAAGAACAGGAAATAGGATGATACCTGCCAGTATCCTGGATGGTGTCTGCAATCTCTTCTTCCAGTCCACTTAACTGATTATGYGATGTAAGCTTTATTGCACTGTAGGCTTATTTGAGGAGGTTTATGTCAAGTTTGAACTTCTGATTTTAAGCTGGACGGTGCTGCCAGAAGCAGTTTTATYGGAAAGTGTCGCTGCAAGGCCTGGATACAACTTGTGCCTTAGCACTCACAGCAATGCTGTAATCTTGCTTGGTCATTCTGTTGGGSCTGTTGTGTGTATCAAGCTTTCAGAGCAGCCTTCTCTGAGCAGCATATTTTGTATATAGTGGGCAATGTTAAGCAGAAGGCAAGATGTAATTCCTTAGTGCAGTGCCCTGATTGCTCTACCTGAGCTTTCAGGAGTGGCAGTGGTGGTGAGCTATCACCTGTTCTGTGCATCCAGTGTCTGAGTCTGGGAGAAAGGACAAAAAGAGTCATAGAGAAGGATCCCCAGCAGAGGCAAAACTTTAGGAGGAAGATTATTGTGTCCATTAAGGTCTGTACATAACCTCTTACATGATGCAACAGACAAGCAACATTGAGAATCTTGCTGAGCAGCAGGAAAGGGAGCTACCTGAGTTCCTCAGAATCTGGTGGCCATTGATTTATTCTTCTGTGTCTCAGTTTGAGTTGAAATGACAACAGCCACCTGTGAAACCTGGGATACTGCTGCAGCTTGTCTAAAGTTCTGTCTTGGATGTCTCTGAGTGGTGCATACGTGGCCAATAATGGCAGGTTTCTTAGGAATGGGATTCCCCAACAGTGTTGTCATTGGAGATGCTTGCACTGCCTCTGACCAAGCACAACTCACCAGTGGCAGAAAGCGATTTTGTTTTGTCTGCAGCAGGCTGGGGAGCTACCACAGATGCTTTATTGTCAGCAGTGCTGCAGATCTGGTGTGTTTTCCACCATGCCGGCTTGGTTAATGRCTTACAGAAGCCAAGCAAAAGTAGTGGATCTGCAGCTTCATTAAGATTTTCAAATCAGTGTTGCACAAACTGACTGAGCTGAGCAGCCTCAGACAGACCTGCCTTGTGATGATAAGCATCTTCACTTGCCAGAAGCTGTTCTGTTATTGCCCTGGCTGCCTTTGGATTGCTACAGACTTCATGTGTAGCAGTAAAGATTGGACTGCAGTCCAAAGCAGAGTCCAATTCCTGAATTCTGCTTAGGTTTTGTTCTTACAATCAGACAACTGCTTTGGTGAAAAGGGACCTTTGGAGGTCGTGCTCAAGGTAGAACCAACAAGGGCAGATTCTTCGGGGCTCTGGATAGCAGAGTTCTGAATATCTTCAAGGATTGAAATCCCATGTGCTTTCTGGACTCCTGCCCCAGTGTTTGGCCACCTTCATAAYAATTTTTTTTCCCTGCTTACTAATGAATTGTGAATTTCCCATTTTCCAGCTAGCACCTGTTTCCTTTCACTGTGCATGTCTAAGTAGAGCAAAGGTCCCCTTTCATCCATACCTGTTGGTACTTGTGGACAGGACTCTTGGCCTTCTCTTCTTGAGGATCAACAGACTAATTTTCTCAGCTCTTCTTTAGTACAGTATGTGCTCCAGCCCGGTGTGTCAGTGTCTTTTGTACTCTGGGGTTCCAAAAGTGGAGCACTCCACGTGGTCTCACAAGTGTCAGATAGGGGGACAGAGTCACCTCCCTTGAGCTGCTGGCTGCAACCTTGCTGGAGCAGCCCAATGTGTAGCCTTTGCTGCAATGATCTTTTCAAGTAGGTGGTGTAATTTCATGAGCAGGTCCTGGCAGCTCCTATTATATTGTCAATATCTGCTGTTACTCTTTCACCTGCATACCGAATCCAGGTACCAAGTAGCAACTCTCTGGAAAGCCTTTCATTATTTGCTGCGGGTGTGTGTGAAAATAAATATTAAAATGTTCTCTTTCAATTTAGCGTGCAAAAGAACAGGCACAATTTTAATATGTGCTGCCTTTGAAATAGTTTGTTTCTCTGCTCGGAAGGATAGAGTTCAAGTTTCTAGTGCAAAAGTTATTTATAGTGGGCAAATGTGTAATGGTTTGTTAATAGGTACACAGAACGCTAATGACRCAAAGCCAAAGGGTAGAGCCAGCCATTGGCCAGTGAACAATACCCTACCAGCCGTGCTGCTGGTGAGCCTGCAGGGCCACTGGGTTCCAGCAGCTCYAGAGTGCAGGTGAAACCTTCCATGGGCAACATGTGGAGCAATGGCCAAACGATCGAGAAGCACAATAGTGGGACATGCTAAAGGGCCAGCAAGTGCTTCTAAGATACTGCAGCACACTATTCTGCTTCTGTCATCATTGCTACTCTCTTTTGACCTTCGTCCTACTCCAAGCCTACGTTTTTGTGCAATGGGTTGACAGGGAATATGGTTGTGCCTGGCTGTGATCCATGGGAGGGACAGATCAGTCCATCTGCTTCCAAACTATGTCTGCTCACTTCAGCTGATGTCTCTATTGTCACAACAGCCTTTTCCCTGCCTCTGCTCTTACATGACCCTCATCTGAAGCAGGTACCTATTTTGCTTCAGACTTGAGTGGGAAAGAATGTGTTAGTGGTTATCTTTTCTTGTGGCAGAGGAGTACTCAGTCATGCACACATTTTTTCTGTTCTGTATCTGCTTTTTGGAGATTGTGCACCTTTTTCATGAAATAAAGTTATAGCACATCTCTCACAGCATGCAGTGGCTGCCTACAAGCTCCCAAAGGGAGGGTACCAGGGACCAAGCCTTCAGGTTATGATASATAAAATAATTGAGCCTAAAGCAGTAAAAGCTGGTAACCTTTTAGAACGAGGTTTAATCTTGAGATCCTGCCATGAACAGCAGAGAGGTTTAGGTCTCCTGSTTCTAGGGAACTGGAAACACATTTTAACAGGGACCTTTTCTCWAAGATGCAATTATATTGTCAGTGTAGTGGTGCCTGAAGCAAGTCTTTGCTGCTGTGTTCTGCAAAACACACAGTTTTACAGCTTGTATAAATTTCAGTCCTCTACTTTTCTGCCTCAGTTCCCACTTAAACTGATTTTTAAGGGCAGGAGAAGAGAAGGAAAGGAGGAAACCATGGAATAGATTATAGAGGGTACCACCACTGGTTACATGTTCAAGTCAGACCTCTCATCAGTTACTGAAAAAAGAGAACTGAATACACTCTGCTGGCTAGCTGCCTGCAGTTAGGAAATCTGTCAAATTCAACTCTTCTGCTCCTGACTGAAGACTCTAATTTTAGAATTTTTTTTTCTTTCTTGGTCTGTAGAAAGACACCTAAAGAAGGTAAGCACTAGCAGAATAGGATGACATTGCCACCTCTTCCTGCCAGGAGGGAAGAAATACAACAGTAGTATGGATGGAGTAGTTAATTTGAAAGACATTCTGGATTTTTTAGAAGCAATTTGAGATTAAATCTTTGGTGTTGCTGTCATGGGGAAATAATAAGCACAATTCCTAAGTGATTGACAGAAAGTAAGCTGAAATCTGGAAAATACATTGCTGATAACTCTTCTTTTCTCTGCATACAGGGAAACAGCTGGATGGCATCTGGTAAGTGACTAGATTTAAATTGCATAATGTGTGTAAAACACTGGTGTAGGAAGTATTTTCAATATGCCATTATGTATGCTTCAAATCTTAAGAACTTTTTRTTCCTGAATACAGATTGGTAGTAAGATGATGTACAGTCAGGTGCTAGTTGAACCACTCTGTTCRAAGCTCAGTGGACCCCATGGGAAAGAGTGTTGTTAGTTGTTAGTAGTTGTGCTTTTGTGCACCTATGCACTTTTTCAAGGGTTGGATGGTGTCCTCGTCCTAAGCACTTTGTCTTATAAGACTAGGCATGACTAAACAAGAAAGTAAAAGAGTAGGTGGAAAGAAGGTATTACAAGGTCAAGCCTTCTGGCATGTAAGAGCAGTATCTACATTGTTACAAAACACCCCCCAATTTGCTATAATTCATACTAAAAATTTTGRTATCACACGAAGAGGGCTTGTTCAGGTTTTTATAGAGGAAAGAAAACCCATGAACCCTCGTCCATCCATTTTCCTCTCTATTGGTCAATCTCCAGTGGTTATCTGACCAGCTTCTCAGCTGGTGAGAAGTCTCTGTCAGTGTGGTAGCAGGCCTAGTTCTGTCACTGAGGGATGACTTCACCTGTTAGCTGAGAGAGGCTCAGGCCTGCACTCTTAGCCAAACCTGTTCTTTCCTAACTGTTTGCAGAATTACACTAGGCTTGGTAACTTTGCTTCTGTATCCATTCATGTCCCAGCAGATCCTGTTCCCACTCATAGAAAGACATCGACCTTTTCTTTCAGTTATTCCCCTCATTATGTCCTTGAACTTATAAATTTACCAGTGATTTATGTGCTAGGCTATTTATTTTTTTTCCTTTATTTCAACTTTTTTTTTTTGTTCTCTGTGGCAGGCACACCTCCATAATAGTCCATAAGGATGAATTCTTCTATGGCAGTGGAGGAATCTCCAGCTGTGCACCTGTAAGTTAAATTTAATTTTCTGATAATTTTTATAGGGTTACCTGATCAGAATTTCTTGTATTACTGTCCTTTAGAAAATCAGCAAAAGACTTCTAAATTCAGACTTCAGATGCTGAAGCCAGCTGCTTGCCATGGTTTCCCAGGGTACTGAGGATAAGGGAGCATGGACAGTTTAAGCTCAACTAAATACAAGTTGGAGGTTGCTTCTTCTGGTAGCGTCTGTCTATCCAGAACACCTTCTGAAACTGCTTTACCAGAGTGACAACTTGTCCAATTCTGTATCATTAAGTTTTACATACAGACTTTTCTAAGAGTGAGAAACACCCAAACCATGATGTTTTCTCAGACCATTCTGTTCTTGCAGAGGTAAAAYGKATGGGCCATGCATCTGCAGCTGAATTTTGCCATAACTTAGAGCTTTCAACCCAAAGAACCAAATACATCAGCTGAAATGAAAGTTGAATGTTCCTTCTCATTCTCTTGAGTGCAGAACAAGGAAGGCCAACAGGGCTTTTTGCTTGACAGACATACCAAAAGTTTCTTCTTTTGTGCCTAGAYGAACCATGATAGCTTTATTAAATAGAGTCTTCTAAAAGAATTCAGCCTGATCAGTTGATTCTGTCTTCTGGCTGTTCATTTTTACAGGGAGGGACACTTCTTGGCCCTCCAGACACAGTTGTTGATCTGGGGAACACTGAAGTGACTGAAGAAATTTTTCTGGAATACCTTTCCTCTTTGGGGGAATCTATGTTCCGGTAAGTAACAGGCTTGTCCTGGAAAATCTGTATAGCAAAAAGGTGCAGAGTGGAGGAAGGTATTATGGAACCAGTCCAGGTCCCAAAGCTTTTGTCTGCTTACTGTATCATTTGRTACTCTTCAAATGTGGACTGGAACTGATGCACTAATACACAAGGAGCTACCTTCTCCGCAACCCTCTGGTGTGCCAGCCTTTAGCCAGGCTGGAGAAACATTCTTCTGGGAAGTTTTTCATACTGTTTTTTTTTTTTTTGTAAAATCAAATAATGCCTGCAATGCTTTTGAGAGAATCACCAGGGAAAATGAAATCTCTCAGTAAATAGCAGTTTGCCCTGGGAGTCATAGGTGAAGCCCTGTAGTAAAGCTGCCAGCTTTCTCATGAGTAGAAGCAAGGTTTTGACTGTTAAAGAGTGTTTTCTACTTCTCACAAGAATATGAAACCATAGCATTTAGTATTCTGGCTMTCGTTCAGTGTCAGTTATTCCTGTCATTTCTCGTTGCTGCTTCTGTGGTTTTAATTGAAGAAATCTGACCTCACTTACTCTCCCAAAATTGGTTGTATTAAAGTCAGTGATGCAGACAGATGTCATTTTCCACCCTGATTCAATTGRATTGGAGGGTGAATTGTGTTTTACCGATTTGCCTCAAAATTCTTCGGGGAAGCAGGGGGTGGAGGAAGTGCTAATGTAAGATGTTCTTCATAAGGGATAAAAGTTTTTTTGCTTGTGAGATTTATTGCTGAATCTTGTTTCTRTGTTTCAATTTCTTTTCTGTGGCACAGAGGAGAGTCTTACAACCTCTTTGAACATAACTGCAACACCTTCAGTAATGAAGTGGCACAGTTTCTGACAGGAAAAAAAATCCCTTCCTACATCACTGACCTTCCATCTGAAGTTCTTGCCACGTGAGTATGGATGTCCCTCCTCTCTGTAGCTGCTTTATGCCAAAGCTTAAACATTTGATGGAGCCAGCAATAACAGTTTCTGATGGATCTCTCTGAGAACCAGCATAAGATTAAGGAGGGGGTGCAATTTTCTTTACTTCAACACTTGCAACATTGTATGGCAAGTGCTAACTGGCACTGGTGTTCTGAAGAAAGCAGGCGATGGTTGTTCTTCTACCTTTAGTTTRAACTAGTTATTGTTTTATGCTCTCTTATATGTGACCAGACAAGCTTGAAAAGTTTCAGGAAATTGTGAGATTCTTCTTTTTTCTTAGCAACCAGTGTCAGTTAAGTCACTTCTCTAAGTACCATAATTGCAGCAGAGGTGTCAGTTTGCTTGTGAAGAGGCAGGGGARATACAATTTTAAAATTARTGCTGCAGATTTAAAGCTAGAACTGGGTGGAAAAAGAAGTTATGAAAGAAAGGAAATTAATACCTGCCTAATAATTCAGAAGATTTTTTTTTAACCCTCAGCTAATGAGGATCCCAGTAGGATGATTTGAGCTCCATCATGTAGGTCTTACTTCTCGTAACAATGGTATAGCACATTATGTGTGAGATATGTCTTCTACCCTTGACTCTTAGCACTTCAGATCTCTCAAAATCAGATAAAGTCTGTAACAGAGTGAGTCTTATCAAAAGACAAACCAGGTGACACAGATTGCAACAGAAATTATTCTGTGAGTGTTGAACCATTGTCTTTTAAGTAAGCTAGAGGCTATTCCTCTGGCAGGCCTCAATATTGATGTACTTAATGGAATACTGCAGTTGCAATAATGGGTTCTGTTTCCACACTTAAGTAGAATGAATTACTGAGAGCTAGTTTCAGACAGTGTTACATTAGCAGACTAGGCATGTTAGGACTCAGAGCTAGCKTATATAAAATCATGTTTAAGTTTCTTAGTTATTGAACAGCAAATTAATAGGTTAAACTAGTTTGCTTTAGTTTGTAGTGGAAATCTTTTCTTCGAATTTGCTTCAAGAATGTTGATTGGATTGCACTCTGGGAAGTGAGTGCACTTCAGTGGTAAATGGGAATTGTTGACCAAGTAAACTATTTGAGATGTTTATTTCTTTACCTTCTCAGACCTTTTGGACAAGCTTTAAGGCCCCTCCTGGACTCCATCCAGATCCAGCCACCGGGAGGAAATACCTTCAGCAGACATAATGGACAGAGCTAACCGGAGTGACCCAGTGTGACCAGCCTCACCAGGCCTCTTCCTTTTTAAACATGAATCTACCAGATTTCTATTTTATAATTGCCCATGAGAATTAACTCTTTAAGAAGTTGCAAGACAAGTTTTAAAATTTCCTAGGGAGAGGATTTATCAGGGTGCATGTAAGACAATGCTACCAAAAATATTGCCATAATTTCTAATAGTATTATACTAATTTATAAAGGCTGTCTGATCCAAGTAGGCTGACACTTTCTATGTAACTCCTGTGCTGGTAAGTGGAAATTCATTCCATGAACATTCAAGGGCCCATTACACACCATGAAGTAAATAAGGATGTCCTAGGCATCCCTTACAGACTTGCATCTCTTTTTCCTGTCACTGCCTCTGYTATGGGGGTATTTGCTGAAATCTGTAGCAAAAAAAGCAGAGCAAGTATTGGTAGCCTAGGAAGTGAAGGTGTCCCAAGATTAGTCTGTATTTCACTGACATTTGCTCAGGGGAAGAGCTGAACTCATCTTATTATCTGATTAGAATATTTGCAGTGGCACAGATGTATGGGAAAGGTGATGAAGCTGAACCATGTGTCAGTGTCACACTCAGAAGTGGAAACTCAGTGAGACTTGCTGTGGTGGGTGGGAGCCTGGAGCTGACGGTTACCAAGAGCCTTGTAATGCCAGATCCAAGACTTACGGGAAAGAGAACAGCCAAATGAGCAGAAGTGGTAGAGACAAATTTCAAGTGAAAGTAAAATGAAGTGAAATGTTTCATTTCCTCACATATAAGCTTATCAGCAGGTAAGACAGAACCTTGTTAACTATTTACCTTTGCATAAGAACTGTGTTTCCTTGGTTTTTTTTTTCCTYGCAAAGCCAGAGTTACAGTACAGTAAGGCAGGAATAGCATGGCAACTGCATGATAGTATCAGTTGGGCCAATTCTGCCTTCAATATCCAGTTGCAGACACAGTAGAAGTTTCAACTTTCATTAATAGTGCTGCCCTTTCCAAAGCTCATCAGAGAGGGCTCTCCTTAAAAATAAGTGCGAGGTCTCCCCAAATGTAAAGAAAATGACGAAGAGTAAAATTAAGCATTTCTGTGGAACAGCTGAGTTTCTTGGGGTACATGCAGAAGCAGTCCTGTCCTTAGTCTGACCTTTGATTATATCAATACTGCATCTTCTAGTTTAAGATTTTTATAGCTTTGCAATTACTTGCAGTGGGAAAGAACAGGGGAATGAAAAAATAGGCACAATGTTTTCTTTTCATGCATGTATATACACTACTTTTCTGAACAATTTTGTAGCAGTTATATTTAGGAAGGAATRTAAGAAAGACATCAGACAAATCCCAGAACATTGCTGATGTTCTGTCAGTGGGGATTGCACATTCCAGATGCTGCCAAAAAAGCATCTATGCAAATGTACAGCCCTTTGTCCAGTGCTTTGTTGTGAAAAGTATTGCTTTAAGTTTGGTCCTGCATCTCAAACTTCCTGCACTGGAAACTTCTTATAAACCTAAAGAAGATGTCTTTGCTGGGTTCTCACTCCCAGAATAATACAGATTGATAAATCTCTCACACTTAGTCTGTGTGGACTACAACAGTTCATATTTTTGACGGGTTGGAATAGAGGAAAGCTGCAGTTTTGTCCGTATCAAATACTCTGTTGCYCTGCACCTTGTGGAGCCAGTGCACAGATGGAAATAGGGTATTGTCAGGCCATTCTGCAGTTTTGCATTTACCTGCTCTCAAGGCACAACAGTGGCCCCTGCAGCCCAGATGCTTCTTTTCCTTGCCATTCTCTACTCGTGCCATCAATTTCTCCTTAAGCATTTCATTTTAAGGACTGGACTTGGACATAACTGTAGCAGTTAGTACAGATGGCTTGACACAAAAGCTTTCAATCTTTCTCCCTCAAAATGTCCTGTTTACAGAAAATTATCTATGAAAGTCAGTTTTGAATGCCTTCTGATGTTCCTGGAGGAAGGATTGCTGTTTGTTTTTTTCTAAACCATAGCTTAGGTTTCCTGTTTAGTATATGKATTATCTCCAGTCTTTTCCCATACATGTCTGTGAAGTGTTGCCAGCCTTTCATCTTAATACACACATGACCTTGCCACAAAACGCTGTAGATCATGTTAGAGATCTTGGAGCTTCCTCAGTTGAGCAGGTATATTCCAGCTGGCACAGTGCAGCCCAACATCCTGGTGTGCTCGTTTGGTACCTTGCCTTTCAGCAGACGATCACTTCAGGCACAGCTGCCTGTGGTGGGAGCACTGTTACCAAGGTTTCTGCCCTACACACCTACGCAATGAGGATATGCCCTCTATGTCCACCACTTTGGATSTCCTGAGCCTAGCTTCTGCTTGGCCGCCTAGTTCAGGAGTATTTGCATCCTCTCAGGGAGCAAGAAAAAAAAGGAAGACATTMATCCCGTGCATTTTGCAATCTGCCTTTTCCCCTCCTGAGCAACCCCTTTGAAGAAATAATGCTCCTACTTTAAGGTCATTGGATGAAATTTCATTCAGCCATATATTGTTCGCAATAGTCAAGGAGCTTCTGGGGGTCTCCTGGGCTCGAGACCTACTCTTGTGTTTTGTGGCAAAAGAACTGTAGGAGGGAATCCTGTTTGCTTGGTCTTACTGGGTAATGAGACCCCTGTACCCTGTAGGACTCTTAGGAAAACTATTTTCTCCAAAGATGGTTATGTGTAAATTGCAGGACTGTGCCCTCAATGTTCCACCCAGCCGAGAATAAACTAGACTGAGAAGTGTACGTAAGTGTATATAGGTTATGAGCTTCAGTGTGATGGACAAAGGGGCAGGGAAACTGAACTCCTGAAAGGGAACAGAACTCTTTTGCCCACACTTACTATTCTGTCTTGTATTGCTGAGGTTCCCCCGTGCCATTTTAAAAATGTTAATAATGTCTTTAGGCAGAAAGTGATGTTTTGATTTACTTGTGGGATTTTTCTATTACAATAAAAAGAAATACAACATATTTTCCTGTTTGAATGCATGTGCCCGCACAGCTGCCCAGCAAATGCACCTGACCAGAAGTCATTACCTTCACTCTTGTCTCACGTGGAAAGTGCTGCATGAGAAACTGTCCAAGCAGTTTGTGCCAGGTGCTGCTGCTGGAAGCAGTGGTGGCCACTGCCCTTTTCTTGAACTGGCCACTAGCAATACTTTTTGGGAWTTTTTTTCTTCTCTAAGTACCCCAGTATTTAAAACCATACTCCTGAGGCTTGAYGCAGCTTGGATGAGGTGAATGACAATGTTCTGTCTGTACAGATTTTATTTAGCTCTTGCTCATTTAAGTGTGCAAGTATGAAATGTATAATATCTGCTGTTGAAGAAGACACATAACAGAGTTTTAACGTGGGAAAAAGTCTTTTCCTGACTGCCTTGATGCTACTTTCAAAAGGAAAAAGAAAGAGCAGTAAACTAAAAAGTAGACTTCATGGCTGGGTTCCTCTGGAGCTTCAGAGGGGATATTGGTGAGGATTATGTAGCGCTGCCTAAGATATCTGACTCTTGGGAACAAATTAATTCTGCTTGGTTCAGCCTTCTACATGGTTATTGATASCATGCAAATGATAAACCACACAGTTTGCTGTTTGGGTAACAGTCTGTATCAGTGCAGTACAGAAGAGGTCTTGTACCAGAAGGGAATTAGAACAAAGATGTGTGATTGTGGTTCTTTTGSCTGTGTTCTTCAGATGTGGTGCTGGTTTGCTACCAAGTACTAGAACTAGCCCCACATAAAAGATCTGGAAAACACATTTTTTTAAATAAGTTTTTTTAAAATACTTTTTAAACATTAAATTTTAAAAGTAAAACCTTAACTTTAATGGCAGCTGTAGACAGAGAATAAGCCAGTGCTCACAGTAGCTTACCTTCTAAACTGCAAACAAAATTTCCTGGCCTTTCCTGCTAGTAATAGAGATTTTATTCCTGGCGACAGCTGCTGCCTATCCGAGCAGCAATCAAGCAGATGTATTAGGAGTGGTTGGAGTGCCAAAGTGCCAAGTATTAAATAATCGGAACAGCCACGATGGTCCTGTTGTCAGAGCTAACGCAGCGAGGGAACAGGCACAGCTGTGGACAGCTGTGCACTTCACCACAAGGCAGGTTTATGGTCCCAGGGAAACCAAGGTGTCCCAAGTCCTCACCAGCTGATATCAAATGGCCATCAAGATGCTTCCTGAGAGAGGCGTTTTGACATGAAATTACTTCCCAAAGCAGCAGGACAAGCTGAGAGAGCACAGTGGGTAATTCAGGTTTTGGAAAGTTCTCCTGGTAGCATAAACCTGGTGGTACTACAGGAGTGTGAAAGTCTGAACACTGACWTGTATTTTAGCAGATTTCCCAATTCTGGAAAGTGCCCCGAGGTGGCACTGCTGCTTGCAGCACAAGGATGCACCTGAGTCTGGTGAGAGCAGCTCCCAGTTTTGGGGTGCCCATAGTACTGTCAATGCAAGAGGTAGGATGGAGGTCTCCCCCAGACAAGAAAGCTGCAGGTAGGAGCAGCCAGGAGACAAGACCATGGAACAGGTTGGGCTACAATAGGTTTTCTAACTCCACACCACTTCCACCCAGACATGGGAAGGGTCCTCCTCATGCCATGTCATGGTTTATGAAAAATAAAGGCTTGCATTCCTGAAACGCCAGGAATTCACTGTGTGTCTGACCCCAGGGCTGTCCTGTGCATTAACTCACAGCTCTGCTGCGTGGGTGAGCAGTTTCTTGGCTTCTGGTGCTCCAGCATGCCAAATCCAGGAAGGCATCTACTCACATATCAGCTTGCCATGGGAGGCCCACTTGGAAGTATTCGTATTCTGGGGTAAGTGTCCACGCATTGACTGATGATAAATGTGTAACCACACCTTGACAAGTCCTATAAAGGAACATAACCCTAAACTGAACTAAAAATTCAACACWCAATTGCATACAAAAGTAGCTGTACTCTAGGAAACCATTCTGGGAGCTTCAGTGCATCTGAGAAAAGAGTCCACCTTTCCCAAGGTGGGAGCCCATAAGCGGGGTCTGATCCAGAAGGCCACAGGTTCTTCAGAAACATCAATGCTGGGGCAAGTGATGTGTAATGCCCATCCAAGATGGCCTGACTCRCTATGCTGTGGAGGTAACTCAAAGAAACAGTATGAAAACAGGTATCCTGTTGGACACAATTAATGTCTTCCCCAGAAAATAGCTGAGGATGTTTTGGTAAACCTTGTCCAAGGCAATGGCACGGAGGTAAATTATTAACATTGTTTCTGTACATACCCTTTTCACTGAGTGGGAGCAGGATAATCATAAACCACAAATACAAAAAAAAAAAAAAAAAAAAAAAAAAAAAAAAAAAAACAAACAACAAAAAAAAAACCACCAAAACCAAAAACCAGAATCTGTAAAGCCACCTGAATGCTTCCTTTTGGGAGGAATCTGGTGGAAAACCAAGAAAAGGGGTTGCACAATATTCTGGAGCAAATGATACTGAGGGAAAAAACAATCAGACTGTTAAAAAAAAAAATCTCTCCCCAGTCCCAACCTAGCTCAGCACACTGAGCACCGTTGAGGGAGAGAATGCAAACTATTGAGCAGAAAGCATTGGATGTTCCACATAGATTGGTTCTGATTCTGGAAAATAATTTGGAAATTTTTGTAGGAGATGGGGGGGCTGTCCACTGTCACATATGAGGCCAGCATAATACGGTGCCATATGAATATGATCAGACCAGATGGTCTAATTAAATCCTAAATGACTCGTGGGGTAAACAGTAGAACGGTCAAAGCAAAAGCTACTTGCTTTGTGCAGAGTATTTTCACTTACCCAGTGAAAATATTAATAGCATCCTATTGGAAAAGCAAGGTGCGGCACTAGCTAGGAGTGCTGCTCATGTCCCCTTCGCTAAGACACAGAAACCCCCAGAGGAGCTGAGTTCATCACGTAGCTCTATCCAGACCCACGGCCCCTCAACTCCGGGGAGCTCTGCAGTAATAACAGCAAACGTGAAGAGACGCACGCCACACACAGCCTCCYCCAAAGTCCTTCGGGCTCTAAAAGGATTTAAGGAAAGAGCCGAAGCGGGGAAGCCGTTCAAGACTCGCACCTTAGTGCATCCTTGTAAGGGCCGTGGAGGCGYGGGGGCACAGCAAGAGTCCCCCGCAGCCGCGGCACGTCCCGCCCGTGCGGCCCCAGAGGGCGGGCGGCCGCCATCAGCTCCCGCGGTCCCGCCCCCGCCCGCAGAGCCCGGGCGGGATGGCGGCGGCGCGGGGCCGGGTGCTCTGTCTCTTCGACGTGGACGGGACCCTGACACCGGCTCGGCAGGTAGCGAGGCGCGGGGGCGCGGGGCGCTGGGGGGGCGAGGTCAGTGAGGCGGAGCTCGTCCCGCCGGCCGCGGCCTCACCCGCTGCTTCCCCGCCAGAAAATCGAGCCGGAGGTGGACGCGTTCCTGCGGGAGCTGCGGGAAAGGGTGCACATCGGCGTGGTGGGAGGCTCCGACTATGCCAAGATAGCCGAGCAGCTGGGGGAAGGGGACGAAGGTGAGACACGGCGGACGAGGTCTCCCGGGGGTCACCTGTGCCCTAAATCCAACCCCGAAGCTGCCCTTGGAGTGGCTACCGGCGGGAGCTGCCGCTTGGCTCCCTCTGCCTGTGTGGAGGGCAGGCAGGGATGGTCCAATCCATGCTGCCGGCTCCAGCGTCAGTTTTGTACGAGCTTCATCCGAGCTCTGACAGCTTCACGCCCCCCAGGCAATTTTCGCCTCCTTGCTGCTCCGTGGTGGGGTCCCCGCAGGTTCCTCGTCACGTTCCWATGGGGACATGGGGTAGAACACGGAGTGGGAGGACAAGGGGGCAGCGCCTGCCTCCTCTACCGTGTTCTCCTTCTCCTGCATGGATGACAAGCGCCACTGGGCTCCAAGCTCTGCCTCCCACTTCGTTAGTGGAWGGAGGCCCAGGCATTCCCGGCTGAGGCTGATTGCTGAGTCGCCAGTGCTGCGYGTCTGGGTTGCAGGGGGGGCTGGAGTTAGATAACCAGTAACCACATCACCCCAGCAGCCTGGCAGTGGGGAAGGCARAGGAGAGAGCAGAGTAACACGTAAGTGGTTGAAAGCCTGACATTTCTGAGCCCTTATCTTGGTCCTGCAACTGATTCAGCCCGTGACCTCGGTCAGGTCGTTTCCCCCTGCGTGCGTCAGCTCCCCACCCGTGACCAGAAGATAATCTCCTCATCCACTTCGTGGAAAGCGAGTAGCATAGGATGGTCAGTGGCCCTTTGCAGAGCACAGGAGCTGTGGAAAGCACAGTATGAAGCAAGCAGGAAGATGGCTCACTCAGTCTTGAGCCCAGTCCTTTTTGCCCCTTTTCCCAAGCAGTGGTAATGTTTCCTCTTTTGTATCCTTCCCTCTCAGTCATTGATAAGTTTGACTACGTCTTCGCGGAGAATGGCACAGTTCAATACAAGAATGGGCAGCTGGTCTCCAAGCAGGTAAATCCAGCTCCCTTTGCAGCCATGTCTCTCCTGCTCTGTGCCCTGTGAAGAGCAGCACCCGCCCCACCCAGGTGGATGGGACGACTCTTCTCCCCAGTTGCTGCCTCTTYCAGGTGGGCTACATGGGAAGTCAGGCATCTTCACTTGCCCTTCTCTTTCTGCAGGCCATTCAGGACCACTTGGGGGAGGAGCTGCTGCAGGATCTGATCAACTTCTGCCTCAACTACATGGCACTGCTGAAGCTGCCCAAGAAACGGTAACAGCCCAAGCGTATGCGAGTGGCAGTCATGACACTGATTTCTGGGGAGCTGAGCTCCAGATCTCTCCTGAAAACACCTGAGCTACAGAGCTTGTCTTGTTCCAGGTTTTATCTTAGCATCCAGAGGCATTGTGTAGGATCACTGTCCCCCTGAGCTGGGCACCTTGGGCAAATAACAGAGGAGGGTTTTTGTTCTGAAGAGTCTGCACTATGTTTTAGCATAATGCCTGTTCTTTTGTCCCATGGATTTTCCTCCCTGGGAAGCAGGGTGCAGCYACCATATGTATCTCATTTAGGACAATGGTACCAGCTTGTTACTGGTCAGGACATCAGGCATCACTGGTAGTGTATGTTTCCAAACAGGCAAACAATGGATCTTAAGATGGGAAGTCCAGCCCCTGAACACACAGTTTCACACTGTTTTTAACCCAGTGTCGCTGGTTGGCTTTGTCCTGCTCCCTACCATGTGTTCCTCTCTGCTCTTCCCCTTGAGATCCAGCGTCCAGAGGGTGAGCTGGGTTGGTACACCTCTGCTGAAGGAAGACCAGACCACTACCAGGACAAGAAGGGGTCGTCTTCTATTGGATCAGCTGGCTCTGTTAGCACAGAAAGAGAGAGAGAGAGCAGATGTCATGAAGGTGGAAGGGGTGAACAGGAAGGCCTCTTTCAGAGGCAGCCTGCAGTTAAACCAGGGTGGGTGCATGGTAAAACCCCATGTCAGACCACAGTTTCAAGAATGTGTGAGCCACCCAAGGCTGCTGGCAACAGCAGCTCTGCTCTCCCCTTGCTGCGGCAGTTTTTTTTCATGCTCTCCCCATGTGTTTGTACAGTGAGCAGGTGAACTGTTGGGTTGAAATTAATCTGGTGGAAGTTGCTGAACTGTGATCCAGATTAGTAGCGTGATATGAGTCACTATGTGGCAATACAAGGACCAGTGAGAGGGGCTAGGGTGGCTCCTTGCAACAGGACTCCTGAATGAACAAGCTCCCAAAAGCATGGGCTGGGACCCAGAACCCTCAAGGCTGTTTGGTTGCCTCACTAGTGTCTGGTTACCTAACAGCCTTGGCRGAGTTTCAGCTCCCAAGTAGCTCTGTGGATTTAGGCTTATGGGATTTCTAGCAAAGCAAGGACTTTAACCCCCATCTCCCATGTCTTGGCTTGGGGTATGAGCCACCAAACCCTCTGTGCTGCAGAGATGCTGCTCCCAGCTGCAGGTGTGGCTGCCTCTGTGTCCATTCCCCATGATGTTCCTCACCATGTTAGGAGATGGGAGGGGGAGAGCTTTTCCTCMAGACTCAGCGTGGTAAGCACTTTATCACAGAGAAACAGCAGGCAGAACTGGGAAGGACAATAAACTCAGGGGTCCTCAGCTGGACAGGGGAGGGGATCTCCCTGCTCCAGGTAGGTTTGCACAAGAGTTTCATTCTATTTTCACACTGGCAGGGCTGCTGTCCCCTGTTGTTTCTGCCCCACCAGTGCTGGTATACCTGTCTGGCTCCTTAATAAGCAAACAGAAGTAACTGGGTTTTCAGCAGAAAGGAAAGAAGGGAGCAGTTTTCTGCCAGCTCAGTGCTTTCAGCCAGCCCACCGAGGAAGCAGCCAAGAAGTGACCCTAGCACAAGGCGAGGGTGGCCAGCAGGAACTGGATCCTGTCTGTGCAAGCTTAGATAAGAGCTGCAGTCAAAGGTGCAGGGGTCAAAAGGGAGATAGACCCTGATTTGTGTCCCACAAGGAGGCCATGATTGCTCCTCAGCCTGCTGCCGGACATCGACAGCGAGTTACAMTGACCCGCGCCATCCACTGCCCCAAGGTACTGCCAGCTTCACCCAGCCCACACAGCATTTCTTAGAAGTCTCACAAGGGTAGAGATACCACAGTCTGACCAGGGAGCTGGTCCAGGCCAGGCAATAGCTGTCCTTGCAGTTACCACATCAGAGAATGTTACCTGTCATGTCCCATAAGCTTGTTCTTCGAGCCTATCCCCAGAGCACAGAGGAACTGTTTATTCCTCTTCTGTCACAGTCTCTTTTTATAAAACTGAGCCCCTTGGGACCTTAAGCAGTTGTTGATGCCTGATCTGTGCCTGGTGTAAAGAGTGGGCGTGGCTTCTCTCCTCCTGCATGTTCTTGCAGAGCCTCACTAAGCAGCCATTCTCCTGAAAAGGTTGTTTTTCCGTCCCTGCCCCAGTAACCTTGTGTCTTTGCCCACCCACAGAGGGACCTTCATTGAGTTTCGCAATGGAATGTTGAACATCTCCCCCATCGGACGGAGCTGCACCCCCGAGGAGCGAATCGAGTTCTCCGAGCTGGACAAGGTACAYGGACTCACCCTCCCCTTTGCTGGTTTTGCACAACCAGAGATCTCAGGTCCCCCTCTCCTAAGGAGAAGGGAGGTCCAGCTTCAAGCTGTGCATGGGCAACAAGGTGGAGACAGGATGGGCAGTCAGAACACCCAAGGAAAGACACAGATGAATGGAAGAAATTTGATTTCCCTGGGAACAACCAATGCATGGGGGTGGCCAGCCAGGATTCCCTGTGCCGTGGGAGAGCCCCAGGGAGCAAGGCAGTTATTGAACGGCATGTTTCCTCATTTACAGTACCCAAAGATGTCCCAGCAGCTATGTTCTCTCTCCCACTCCCGTAGCCCCAATAGAGCTGGAACTAATGGGTTTTCTGTGCTGGAAGGACCATGGCAGATCTGTTGAGCAGGTGTCTGGAGGATTTGGCCAGAGCTCATACCAGCCTCTGCCTGGGGAAGCTTTGTTGGGGCTGAGGGAACAGTTGGTCTTTGCAAGACTTTTTAAGCAAAATTGGAGACTTTGGGTTAACAACTGGGCTTCTGGGAAACTGAAGGAATTGCATTTCATTACCAAGGAAGGTCTGGGATCTGCTCCTCCCAGTGCAGTGAGGAGGTGGTGGCCTACTTGGACACTGGGCAGGACTGGTGGAACTGGCTAAATGGCATGACACTGGGACCCAGTGCAGCTGGGGAGGAAACAGAGTTGCCCAGCAGACAGGTTACAGTAGGTTGTGGGACTCAGCCAACTTCTGATTATTYAAACTCTCTTTTCTTCCCTTTCCTCTTTATCCTCTGCAGAAGGAGCGGATACGGGAGAAGTTTGTGGCAGCCTTGCAGAGGGAGTTTGCTGGTAAAGGCCTGCGTTTCTCTCGAGGTGAGCAGGGAGGGCTTCCTTGGCTTTGCCTTTCTTATGTTTCCCATAAAATTCTGTGAAGCAGAGCAGGAATCCCAGCAGTTCCCTCCGARTGTCTGGAAACTCTGGGAAGAGCAAAAGGAGCTTTTAGTCCTGGAGAGCTGCCACGGGGGGGGGTCATATTTGCATCTGTGCAGAGAATAAACTGTGCTGCAGTTTTCCCTGGCTGGAAATCGGCCAGACAGGCGAGTTTCTATCCTGTGACATTACCCCACCTTAATTTCAGTTAGTGGAGACCACTGCTGCCCAGTGAGTCTGTTCTGGCTCAAGCATCAGCATCAGGGCACCCAGCAGAGCCGCAGGCACAGGCACTCTTCTCTGGGAATGAGACAGGAGCCTAATGTATGTCCTGGCTCTGGGGTTTTCTTGGGACAGTTGACTGCAAGGGAAACATCTTTCTTCCTGGAAGAAGAGCTGACATGAGGTAAGAAGTTTGCAGGGTGCTTTTGCAGGGCTGTTTATAGGGGTGGTTCTGCCAGCCAGCTGACCAAAGGCAAGGAGCTGAAGGAGGGGCTTGAGCAATCCTGGCAGTCTGGCCAGGACAGGGAGAAAAACAAGGGTGTGTAAATTGTGGGGACAGTGCTGGAAGAAGACCCTTTGCAGGGGTGTGAGATAAGAAGGTGCCATGTGGCAGCGCAGCCAAAGGGCAAGAGGGTGGTGAGGCTGGGGCCGTGRGTGACACCCCAGGCCCTCTGGTGCTTGAAGAGCTTTTCTCTGAGAGTCTTCACTTGCCTTCAGCATCCTGCCAGGGGCATCCTGTGCTCCTGCAGCAATGGCACACACCATTTGTCACATCAGAGAGAGACAAGKTCCCTGCTGCTATGTCCCCTCAGGCACAGGGTGTGAGAGCAGGACAATGGGCCTTTCTCCTCAGACTTTGGGAAGCGGCCATGAAGAGCCCAGGCTGTTCTATAAAAACATAAAGAGGAGCTGTGGGCCCCCTGCTCCTCCACAAAGAAAATGTGGGGTGTCTCAGGTCAGGCATCCAAAAAAAGGGCACGTGGAAACACAGTTCTTCTGCCAGGCTGGCTGCATGTGCCTTCTCCCTGCCTGTGGAGGATGCCCAGAGGTGATGGGAGATCTTCTACAGCCCCCCCAGGCCTCTGCTCTACCAAGGCGAGTGACAGCGCTGGCTGGTCACATCACCTCTTCTCCCTTTCATTTCCTACCTGCTCCAGCTAGCATCAGGAGCCCCTTCTGCTGCCCAGCTCTGTTTAAAGGATTAGAACACAGTGAAAGACATTTCACAGGTAAATGGCTTTGTATGCAGAATGAGAGCATGTCAACAAGTTTAGCTCCTGCTCTGATGCTGGATCCTGCTGCAAGCCTGAGGACATCCCACCCCTGAGCTCATAGGGCACTTGTTCCCATCCTTGTCACAGTGCCCTGTCCAGTTTCTATGCTCCAAGCTGGACACATAGGCTCCATCTGCAGCTTCTCAGGCTCCAAGGAGGCTTGGTTCAGGATCTCCAAACCAACAGGGACACTCCAAACAGCTGGGAAGGGGAGGTGCACAGCATCAGTACTTGCATGGGTTTGAACARCCCGGGGCCTTGGTGCCTCTCCTCTCGCAGGGACTGTCCCTGTGATTATCTGTCTGYTCACCCCCTTCCTTACAGAGGCAGGATTATCACTTAAGAAGATGAGTGTGAAACTCCAGGATTTCTGGTGGATATTCCAGTAGATTGCCTGGAGAAGGCGAGCTGACTGGCAGGAAGACACACATGCCAGCTCAAATCCCTGTATCTCTGGCTCTGAGCGACACCTGAACATACATGTGGCTTTATTTGGGAGGAACATGTCCCCTGTCCTGGTGCACGGTTAGGGAGCATCAGAACAATGGTTTTAGAAAGGCCGGTGTTGTCCAGGCAGGAATCTAGGAGAGAGTTTTGTGCCAGTCTCCAAGGTCATTGTCCCCTGTTGGGATACAGAATGTGCTGGTGCTAGCTGCGAGGTGTGACTCAAAATGTCCCACCAAAAGATGCCTCTCTTGGGAAGAACCCACTGGTTCCTGCTTGCCTGCAGGGCAGCTGTGCTAATGTCACCCCAGCCATGCTGATGTCACTGCAGCCTGTTGTCATAGGAACAGCTTCTTCCACTATCCTAGCTAGGTGCCAAGAGGAACACCAAGGCAGATCCGTGTTTGTGGCTGCTGTTTGGGGTGGGGGCTCCCCACAGACATCCCGCCYCCTCCCATCTTCCTGCCCATCCCAGGGTGGGGGACACTGTGCCAGCTCCCAGCAACGTTGCCTGATGCCCTCCCTTCTGGCAGGTGGCATGATCAGCTTTGATGTCTTCCCAGAGGGCTGGGACAAGCGCTACTGCCTCAATGTGCTCGACGACGAGAGATTTGACACCATCCACTTCTTTGGGAAYGAGACAACCCCTGTGAGTATGCCCTACTTGTCCCACACATGGCTGCTTTCTCTCCTGCTGCTCCATCATGGGTCCTACAGATCTCGTGGTCCCACTGGTGCCGACACAGACCCTTAGTGGTGTGACTGGGGAAGATGCTGCCATGTGCTATGGTTTGTTCTCATGGTGGCAGCAGGTCTGCTGGTTGATGGGGAAATCACCTTGGATTTGCTGTGCTGGGAAGCAGGTCCACCTCAGCATTGCTTTCCTTGCCCCAGCACCCGTGGGAGGGCAGCAGCCACTCCTGTGGCCTGCACAACCCAGAACAAGCCACTGGCACTTAGGAAAGGACTCGTCAACAGCAGGAGCAGCCTCATCTTCCCTTTAGGGCAATGGAGGATGATGCTTCCTTCCTGCTTTAGATCAGCTTGATCATCCACTCAGCTCCTTCCAGATGCTGGCAGCCTCTGCTCCCCAAATGTGCCCATCCCACCTTCTGCTAGCCCCTCCACAGGCACGGCAGGGGTTAACCCCAGACTCCTGGGCAAGCTTTGCTCATCTGGGACCTTCCCTGTCTTTTCTATGCTCCTCCCCTGGCATTGAGTAGGGAGGCAGGAGGGAGGGGGCAGAGCTCCCAGCCCAGCCTCTTCTGCTCGCCCAGGCCTACACAGTCCTGCCTGCCCCTGCCCACCAAGCCCCTGCCTGCCCAGCTCTGGCTCCAGCCCACCTCCCCATGAGACAGAGCAAAATGTGGACTCACAGATGAGGTTGCTCTGGCAAGATCCTGCTAATGCTGTCCCTATTTTCTATTCCCCTGCAGGGAGGGAACGATTATGAAATCTATGATGACCCCCGCACTGTAGGACACAGTGTCCAGTCCCCCCAGGACACAGTCCAGCGATGCCGYGAAATCTTCTTTCCAGAAAGAGCAAACGAGTGCTGACTGCCAGGTCCCTGCAGCCCTGCCCCAGTCCCACCCTCTTCCCCCACCAGGAAAAGCACCTTCATGTGAAGAATCTGCTCAGGGTAGACCAAAAAAACACTTGACAGAGGTGGTCAGGATGTACCACGTGAGTGTGGGTGTRTGGCGGGAGGGGGCCTTGGCTGAGCAGCCCCTCTGCACTCCCTGTGTATGGCTGGGGGTCATGGCACCAGACTCTCCTCGCCTCCAGAGAAACTTCTCTCGTGACAGTTCAGCTGTGGTGGGCAGTGATGCAGATGCTTTTGTGGTCAGAAAGCATTTGAAAGGGCCAAAGAGCGTGAATGTGTCCCTCTCCTCTTCAGTCCTTTTCCACTCGGTTTCTCCTAACACTTGTGCATGAGGGAACACGTGGCTCACCTTTCTCTCCCCTTTGCACCGTGGCCAGAAATGCTGGGGCTGCTGAAGCTCGAAATATGCACTGGAGCTGCCCCAAGGCAGGAGGCCAGGAAGGCCATTTGCTCCAAGCCTGTGGTAGGAAGGAGTAGCTGCGATCCCAGCTTGTCGCACTGCTGTGCTTTCTAATAAGAGGTCACCACTCCCTTCCCCTCAGTGCCACAGTGTGCTGGTCCCTCCCTACAGATGAGCTGGGAATGATGGTTTTAACATGACTGGGCTGCTGCTCTGAGCTTTGCTCGGGTACATGAAGAAATCAGTTCTTCTTTTAGCTTACAAAAACCCCCTAGGGTTTATTTTTTATATTATTATTCTCTGTTTTCAAGTCAGACCTTACCTGGAACAGCTGGAGGATACTGGCACCTCATGTGTGCAGAGCATGCTATGGAACARTTTGGCATAGAAGGCTTTCCAGTGGTCTTCCCACTTATGTCCACTGGGCATCACAGAATCACAGAATGGTTAGGGTTGGAAGGGACTTCTGGCAATCATCTAGTCCAACCTTCCTGCCAAGGCAGGGTCACGTAGAGCAGGTGACRTTGGAATGTGTCCAGTGGGTTTTGAATGTCTCCAGAGAGGGAAACCCCACGATTTCCCTGGGCAGCCTGTTCCAGTGCTCTGCCGCCCTCAACGTAAAGAGGTTTTTCCTCACGTCAGGTGGAACCTCGTGAGTTTTAGTTTATGGCCATGTCCTGTTAGTGGGCACCACTAAAGACAATCCAGCATCATCCTCTTGGCATCCACCTTTGAGATATTTAAATACATTAATGAGATCCTCTCTCAGCCTTCTCTAGACTAAACAGGCCCAGCTCCCACAGTCTCCCCTCGTAAGAGAAATGTAACCTTACCAGGGCATTCACAACAGACCAAGTCCCCTTCCTTTCCCAGARCTCAGCTTTCCATCCTGCTGCCAGAGACATTTTCAGAGGGGGACAACCCTGGCGATACCCTGGTTCATACGGCTAATGGAGGTACCTGCTCAGCAGTGCCCTCCAAGCTTGCATTTCCACCCCATCTCATTGCACACACTCAGTTTACATGCTCACCTTTAGGGAGACAGGATGTCCAGTGTAGGTGTTGTATGTCCTGTTCCTCTCCCTGGATCTTTGTAGGTTACAAACTCACATCTTTCCTTCAGCCCTTGATCTTCTCACTCACATTGTCCTTTTGTTTCTGGTGGTTGCATTGGGGTGTGTGGCCACAGTGGTGACACTCATCACAACTTGGTGCTCAAAAGGAGCTCAGGGATCCTCTCCAAGGAGATGTCCTGCTCATAGCTCCTCAGGGTACACAGATCTAATGTTTGTGGACCTGGAGAAAGTTGGAGGTTCCTGCAAACCCTCTCCCCATTGTTCCCCAGGAACCTTTCTCACCAATCCTTGATAGTATGGCACTGCYGCATCTCTTGGTCCTGTTTTCTCTCCCCTTTTTATTCTGTTCCTGCTTTCCTCATCATGGCTCTCCATTCCAACTGGCAGCTGGACTGCAGAGAGAAGTTTCTCAGCTGGCTGCCGCCACCTACACAAGGCAGCASCATCTTCCTCAGAGAGAGACAGTGGTGCTCTTAGACCCAAGGCTCCCACATTGCCAGGGCAGTCCCTGGTGGCCCTTGGCACAGCTGCCTGGCCACAGGAGCAGCAATACTGCATGACCAGTGTTGGTGGGGTGCTGTCTCCTCCTCCTGACTGCACCTCCTAACTACAACACATCAGATCTCTGATGCAGCACATTTGCATGAGTACAGCAGTCTTCCCAGCATCCAGAGAACCCCAAGAAATGCATAAATTCCTCTTTCTACCCAGAGAAGATTTCTCTGTGGGAGGAGCTGTTGAAGAAGCCTGTATGCAGGATACCCTTTTCACAGGTCATGGGTTTTGGCCCTCCACTGCAACCTTCATGGAGGATTGTGTTTTCTGGTTCCTTCCTCTCTGTTTCACTGTTGATCAGGTTGTGTGKGGGGAGTTTATTTTTCCTGTACATCTACTCATAGCCAGCAGGACCTCTAGTGAGCTTAGTGATCAGTGAAGAGCAGGGTCTTGCCGTGATGCCATGGGGCACTGGGCTGGCCTTGAGGGGCTGAGGTGACTTGCACCTTTGAAGGGAAAGGTGGACACTACCCGAGGCTGCCCCTGTGGGGCACGGACTCTGCCCGTGCTCAGGATGGGGGAAGTTTTGGGGCAAGCAGAGCAGAGGCAGAGATGACCATTGAGACACCAGCCATCACTTTCTGCGCTCAGGAGCTTATCCATGCACAGGTGGGATCAAGTTCAGGAACCTTCTCTGCTCCTTTCTCTTTCTTACACCAAGCTTGGGCTAATTCAGGGCACCTCCCACCTGGAGACCCCTGTCCTGCCAGAGGGATGAGGAGGATGGCATCAAAAGTATCTGGGGCAGCCCCAGGGTCTCAGAGCCACGGAATGGTTGAAGTGACCTGTGGAGATCCTTTCAGATCTGGTCCCACACCCCTGCTCAAGCAGCGCCCCCGAGAGTCCTGGCTGCCTGTGCTGTGTTGTTGCAGGCAGGGATGAGGCATGCTGGGATGGGAGCCCTACTTCTAGGGGACAGTTCATGCCTGTCCCTGAGACTGCTTTGCCATGATGCTCCTCTCATGGTGGGTGCCCACAGCATAAGTGGAGGCTTCTCCCTGGGGTTGTGAGCGAGCAGATGTGGCAGATCCTACACCCAGGACTGTCTTGCTGTAGGGAGCCATATCAGTGTGAGATTGGCAGCTCTTGTCTGGCTGGTAACAACTGTTAAATAAGAAATATATTTAAACACATGGATATGTATATTAAAAAAATTAAATCCTATTAAAGCCACAACACGCATCAGTTAGAGGCGGTGTGTGCTTTGTGCCGGGCTCTGTGGGGTGAAAGGCAGCCAGACAACTTCCAAGTCCCCACAGCAGGGGGGGATCAGCCCCAGTCCTGATGACCCCTCCTGGTGAGCAGCAGCTCCTAYCCCAGGCTCACAGTGTGGAGCACCTTCAGCCCCACCCGGGACATGCAGTGCAGAGGTAGGTGAGTCCATTCTGATGTCTGTCCAAATTCCTGGGTGCTCCAGGGCCTTAACCTGAGAGAGTCACCAGTGTCCTCACTGTGACACACGAGCACAGGACAAAGAGTCAGGATGGGCAGGGCTCATGGGAAAGTCACTTTTAATGGTTTATTGCCAATGTTACAAAGGTTGACACATGGTCAGACAGGCGGAAACCACACCAGAGTTGTAAAAACACCAATAAGTCTAGGGTTTTAATTTATTAAAAAACAAAACAAAAAAAAAAAATCCAACAGTTTGCCTTGGCCAAGCTAACTGCATGTCCTGGGGCAGCCTGGAGCCTGAGCCACAACTACCCCAGCCCCTGGGAAAGCCTGGCTTTGGGTTGGCAGTGAGATGGGCCACTTCCCAGGGCAGTCCCCACACCCACACGGGTGGTCCTCCCGAACCCGCAGGGCCCAGATGTCCTGCATGGCACCGGCCTTGCCCTATTCCTGTCCCCACTTAATCCTGGTTGGCAACAGTGAAAAATACCCTGCTCCGTCCACGCTGAGTGCCAGCAGTGCCAGTAGCTACTGCCCTGCTTGGGGGTCCTGCTGGCACCCCACTGTTCCCAACCCTGCTTTGAACCCTTTAAGATGCTGGTAGTTCCTGGAGCATCAACACCATTCCCCTGGGGTGAATCAGGACCAGCCCAGTGCATGTTATCCCTGTCCCAGTGCCCTCTGCCCTGTCCCTCCATGGGGCTGTGGGAGCCCAGCTGGCCAGGGGATGGCAGAGAAGACCAAAAACGAAGTTTGTGCTTTGTGTATGAGACCCTGCCTACACGGAGGGGCTGGGGAGGAGGCGGCTGCGCTCGCCCCGCCGGGCTGCTCAGACCCCTCAGCCCCTCACCCCCCAGCAAGCTACAGACACACACACACACACACACACACACACACACACACACACACACGTGGCAAGGGGGGGCCCAGGGGGCCGGGGGTCAAGAGAAGGAGGAGAAAGTGTCCGTCTCCCCAAAACCATGTCAGCACCGAGCCAGAAAAGTGCGTTACTGCCCGGCAGCAGTGGGGAGCACAGAGGTGCCATGTGCCCCCTGCCCTGTGCCCCGATGGAGCCCCCTGGGCACAGCACCAAGCRTCCCAGGTGCTCTGCCAGCAGCTGTTTGCCTCTTAAAACTAAATTTTTGCTTTCTGTAATCCACTCACCTCCCTATGGCACCGTTGACCTGAGATCTTGTGATGGAGGGATGTGGTTCAGGTGGGTGCTGTGAGCTGCCAGTGATGGGGATGGGTCTCAGCCACCCAGACCCCGCACAGTGATATGCCACCCCACACCACCCTGTTTTGTCCCTGCGCCAGGCATGTCCCACTGCTGCTGTCCCATTGTGGACCAAGTGGGGTGTCCATCTTGCCGGAGTGGARTTCAGGAGGATGAGCCGAGCCACCCAGCCTCTCCCCACTCCCTCCTGCTCTCAGCACCTGCTTCAGCCCAGTGCAGCTGGAGAGCTGGGGGCTAGAACTGGTTCCTCTGTTCCCCATGGCCTCAGGGTAAGGAATGGAACGTGGGGCTCGGTGCTGCCCCCGGAGCAGGGGGACGGTCAGGGAGGGCTCTGCTTCACCTGTCCCCCTCGACAGACACTTACAAACACACACAGAGAAAGGAAACCGTAACCTTATAAAAGACACTGAACGCAAACGCCTGCATGTTTGGGGGCAGCCCCGGCTCCGCCACCACCTCGGCTCCCCCCACACCCCTTGCGAGCGGCCGGGCACGGTTGCTCCGTGGGGTTGAGTGGCTGGCGGTCCCCCTGGGCGCCTAGGAGCCGATGATCTGGCCGGACCATGTCTCGTGCTTCGTGTGGGGCACCAGGTTGGTGAGGACCACCTCCACTGCCTGGAACTTCTGGTTCTTGGGAGGGATGGGGCAGACCTTGTATGTCACCTCRTCCCCCTCCACCGGGACGTACTCCCCCTCGATGCTGTAGGAGAGGAAAGGAAAGGTAGTGATGGTGGGGCCGCAGCCAAGACATGGACCCCTGCCCCAAACCACCCAGGATCAAAGAAGGCACCTGACCCACCAGCTGCCCCTCTGCAAAGAAAACCCACAGGTGATGGGGGGTACAGGACAAGCAGAGACCCATCTCCACCCTATRGAGACATCCGCACCCCAGCCCACAGATCTCCAGCCCCATGCTGAGGGTGTGGCTCCCCTGAGGTCTTCCAGCACCACGCAGCCCTGGGACTTACTCAGACACATGCACGAAAATGTCCTCTGTGCCATTCTCTGGGGTGATAAACCCGTGACCCTGGGAGCGAGAGAACTGCTTGCAGACACCCTTGAAGATGGGGCCAGCAGAGGCACGCGCTGTCCTACAGAAGGAAACGGAATGAGATTTTTCACTGGCGGCACTCGCCCGAGCGGCAGCACAGGGAGAGATTTCTGCCATGAACACGCGACGGCTCCAGGGCGTGGCACTGCTCACACACTGGGCACGAGTGCGCAGCGATGCTGGGTACCGTGCTGGCAAAAGGCACCAGGTGCAAAGGGCTCTGCAGGCGATCACGGCTCAGCCGGGCGGTCCCAAACCCGCATGAACAGCTACTTACGCCGAGTAGGTCCTGGTCCTCTTGGTGGGGAGGGGGCTGGGCAGGTCCCGCAGCAGGAGGTTGCCCCGCTCCCAGATGCGGCTGCCTTCCCGCTGGAAGGGGAAGGTGGGCCACACCGGCGACTTGGGCGAGTGCAGGGGTGGCACYGCCGCCGGTGGGGCGCTGGAGTCCGATGACATGGTGGGGTCTGYGGGCTCCTCCGTTTTGGGATCGGGCAGGTGGGCAGCAGGAGAAAGGATGCCCAGAAGTGCGGGCTGAATGCCGGTGACCTGGGGAGCGAAAGGGGCTGCGGGTTACAGGCCCTTCTGTGAGGCTTTTGGCACAATTTGCCGTCAGGAATCGTCCCTCAGCTCCCYGCCATCTTTGGGAGCAGCCAGCATGCTGCCAGCCTTCTGTATCGGACACTACCTCCAGCACTGGGAATTGGCCCAGGAAGGCTGTCCCAGCTTGGAGCCACCTGAGATGCTCCAGCAAATCAGTCCCAAGGGAAGAACCTGGTTTGTTCAGCCTTTCATTTGCCAGGATAATCCCACATATTTGAGATGAAGTCACTAAAATGTGTACCCTGGGAAGAGAAGTAGTGGAGCATGGGCTGCCACAGGCAGGGGCTATTTTGGGAAGGATGCCCATGCAGTGCCAGCATGCCTGCGTCTCTAGTCCCAGCCTCTGAGAATTTCCCCAATCCTGAGATTTCTGATTTAAAAAGTGAAGAAAAAAGGCTGAGACAACAAGGTCAGGAGTCTGACGTCTTCTCAGCACAGGAGGCTGCTTAAGCCCTATAGGATTTATGACACAACCCCAGCCCCAGCCAACAGCTGCTGCCCACCCACGCACATTTCTACAGGAAGAAGGAACACCAGGAGATTGTGGAAAGCTGCCAACAGCCCTTACACCCCTCAGGCACCTCACTACACAAGCACAACCTCCTGCTGCTGCCATCATCAGGCTCCAGCTTCTGGCTGGCATCATGCAGTTTGCAAGGAGTTAAAGCCCTAAGGGGCAGAAACCTGCAGACAGTGCAATCACAATTGTGGGCACTCTTGTCCTTGCTGGAGCACCCCAGCATGAAATTGGAGGGGTTGTGCATCTTTAAGCCTCCCAGATGCTGTGATGTGTGATCAGCACTGCAGCCACTTGCTCAGAAAGGCCTTGCTCTGCTGGTTTTCTTCCAGACAGTTGCTGCATCTGAAGTGGGTGTCCCTGTCCCAGGGTGCCCCACAACAGGGGTTGCTTGGGGGCACCTCCCTTTAGGTCACTGCTGGGGCTTCCCCATCTCCATCACTCCTCAGGCTCAGGAATTTCCATCACCTGTAGCTGAGGAGCCCACTATCCCATGAAGTTACCATCCTCTTCCCCAGCACCCCCTTCAGCCTTTTTCCACCCCACTGGGGCATGCAGCATCTTTGGGGACAACACCTGCACACACCAGGAAACCCGCAGAATATTTAATTTCTTTTCTGACTCACTGCAGYCCTTTGAGTCATGAAGGCCCAGGGGGGATGTGCAAAAGGGGGTCACCTCCACTCTGAAATTAGCAGGCACCAAGGACATAAGAAAAGATTTCTAGAGCAGCTGAAGTTTCAAGGAGGGACCTCGCAGTTCCTGTTCCACTCACCCACCTCCGCTTGCTTCCCCTGCCAGGGGGTGTGGCTGCCACTGGGCCCCATGGCTGCCAGTCCAGCTTGGATGCTGCTATGGGATGCTGCCCCTATGAGCCTCAGCCAGCATTGCAACAGCTGCCCCCTCTCAGCCCTGCAGAGCTTCACCCCCAGGTCCAGGCAGTAAAGGCCACACTACATACAGTCCTACCCCGAGGCAGAAGCCACCACATTCCTCCTGCCCTCTGAGACAATTCCCAGTTGTGGCTGCGAACCCCTCCAAACCATCTTTCCCTTTGCTGGCTCCCCCCCACCCCCTCCCCAAACCCTTCATGTGCTTCTGTGGCTCCTCTCCTCCATGAAGAAACTGGAGCATGCACACCTGCCTTCGCTCCACATCCCACGCCACACAGGGGCTGCTCAGCTCCTGGCCCAACAGGCTCAGCAGCTCCTGCCCCCATTCCCAGGCTCAGGTTCATCATGGTACCATCTCCTTCCTCCATATCTAAGGAGCCTGGAGAGACTCAGGGAGCACCCAAGCGAGACATCCCAAAGCCAGGCCAGACACCRAACTGCTTCACAGTTCCCATCTGTGCCCCCGTTTGACCGCCCTGCCTGCGATGGGTCAGCAAAAAGTGATGTGGTCCCCATGCACTGCTGCAGGATCCCAGGAGGTATCAGAATCAGAGGAATAGGATGGTTTGGGGGAAACAGCCCTCAGTTCTCTGCCACATGACAAAGCTGTTACTATGAAAATGGACTCACCATGGTGYACCTCCTCTGTGTGGCTTTCACTGACATTCCCCCACCAGCTTAGGGAAAATGCAGGGTATTTAACCTGAATAAGGATGCTTGGAGCAAACTGTTAGTATGCTCAGGGAGTTGGCTGGCATCCACAAGGGGCTGGAAACATGGAGGTTTTCTAGAGGCAAAATTAAAATAAGAGACAAAGGGTTGTGCAGGAGGGGGAACTTGCAAGGACAAAATGGTGTGGGCTGGTGAAGTGACAACCAAAAGTGTGTTTGCCCCAGGTTCACCTGAGGGACCATCCTTCCAGGCTCAGGCACCCTGGAAGGATCCCTGGTTTRGGGGACAAGTGATGGTGGAGAACAGGAGTGTGCTGGGCACCAGTGAGAGGCAGACAGTCTGCTCCCGAGAGCTGAGGGCAGAGGCACAGGGTACCCTCCTGGGCTGCTGCTTGCCCCTGCARGAGCTGAGCTTGCTCCATGCAGGAGAACAAGCGAGGCAAAACTGTCCACAGGCACACTGGAGGGTCTCTGGGTGGCTCACGGGGATGTGGTGGGGAGCATGTGGTGGGGAGCCCTGGTGTAGCGTGGTGGCTGACTGGGATAAACACAGGGACAGGGCACAGCAAGGCTGTGGGATCCCCATCCTTGTGAGATGCAATGCCCGGACATGTCCCTGAGCAGCCTGCTTTATCTCCTGCTCAGAGCAGGGATCCCCATCCTGGTCTACACCAAAGCTGTCCCCCACAGCCAGCAGCACTCTGCCCCTCTTCAGCAGCTCGATCAAGCAACCCAGATTTGTGGGTCAGCCTTGGTGCCCAGCAGTTGAATGCCTGGCTTTGTGCTGGTGCTGGTGAAGCTGAGGCTGAGTAGCTTTGGCACATGGGGAACTCCAGGATGGAATCCTACCTCCCACCTCATTTAAATCCCTGCTGCAAACAAAGGGACTGAGGAAATTAAACTCACAGCAAAAGCAGGCTGAGAGAAGAGGGGGGATACAGGCATATCTTGGCTGTTGTCTCCTCCCCTCTCACCTCAGACGAGATCGGGGAAAACCTCTACTGCCCTTCTTCCCTCCCTGCTCCGCACCCCACCATCCTCGCCCCAACCCTTTCTCCACAACACGGCCCCAGCAGGCGACAAGGAGGGAGTACCTCGGCACAAGAGGTATTTTCACCCTCTCCTCCATCTCCTGCGGTCACAGCAACCTCTGCTGGGGATGAGAGCGTCTCTCCCCACCTCAGGTCTCTCCCGGCCTGGCTGACACCACCCCACGACACGATGTCCATCCCACGCACGTATACAGTGCAGGGACGAAATCCGGGTAACTTGAGGAAGCAAGCGGAGAGATTGCAGCAGCCCGGCTCTGCCGCGGGGCATGGGAAGCCTTCCCAGGGTAACCACCCTCCWCTGCCACTGCTGGACATCCACCTCGCTCTACCCTGTCTCCTCTTGGGGGCTTTGCTCCGAGGGTCTCCYGGGGTGACAGTCCTCCGAGCCAAGGAGGTGTGTAAGTGGCTGCAAGCCCAGGACTCCCTGGAAGGATGTTCTTCATAAAAAAAATACCTCCTACCCTATCCACCTTCGCTCCTCCCCAAAAAAACACCTCAGAGCCAAGCCACAGAGCCCTCTGATGCCAGGGTCTTCTTTGGCAGCCGCAGCCAGATTTGCGTTTGTATTTTTTGGAGGGCAAGCTCCTGAGCAAGCGGAGCTGACAGTCAGGAGCTCTTGCAGGYGGAGGCAGGAAACCCAGGGCAATTAAGGCAGACAGGCAGTAGACACATCAGCTTTTATCTCGAGATCCAAGTACCCCATTCATCAGCAGCGACTGAAAGGTCTGCGGTTTATCAAATAAAATCACTGTCTCTCTCGCCTTCTTTAAAGCCGAACACATTGACTTGGGTGCTGGCTGTGACCTTGTTTAACTAAACCTCCTTTCAAGGCCCCCTAGAAGGGGGGAAAGGGCCTTTTGAAGAGGTAACAGCCTCTGTCGGCCACTCCCCGTTCATTAGTGGCGGGGAAGAAAAACCCTCACGCTTCTTCGCCCGGGTGGGGGAATACATATTTAATTAGCTTAATCGCCCTCGGTGAGTCGGCCCTCCCGTGCGGCGCTTCTTTGTGCTCCTTCCCATCCGCTGGAACTCCAGGGATGCCCAGGATGGATTGGCGGATGGGTGGCCGCTTTGCTGGCGGCTGTCACGCTCCGGCTCTGGACGTGACCCTTTAGCTGTCCAGACGGTCGCCTTTATGGGCCATTCCCTTTCACGCCGCCGCTTCTCTTTGTAAATTCCCAGCTCGGATGCTGTCTGCCACCACACTCGGGTCTCCCGAGTGCTACTGCTCCCCCCACCCCAACCAAGGAGCTAGAGGTTATTTTCCCTCTGCTGCCTTTTGCAGCAGTCTACTGCAATAGCTCTTCCATGCCACTCACCATCATCTTTTCTCCATCCTTTCCATGGCCAGTGCCCCCAGCTCAGGGGTCAGGTTTACCACCCCTTCAAATCCACCCCAGTAGAAAAATGGTCTCTGTGTGTGAAAAAGATAACCCCAACCCTACAGCCAGCTGCCAGCAGCCATCTCCTCATTCCATGGAGCACAGAAAGCAATGCTCTGGCCCGCTGCCATCCTCGGGGAGGCTGATGCCCCCCCAGACCCAGCTTGTCTAGACACAGGCTGCAACAGAGAACAGCTACACAGCTACACCCCTTTAGACGCATGAGTGTGTCCCCAGAGCTCAATGCAAAAACAAAAAYCCTATTTTTCAACTGCTTGGCATATTCACCTGCGGAGGGACCCAACAGCAACACAGCGGTCAGTGGAAATCCCAGGGAGGCTGCTATGAAGGTCAGAAACCAGCTGGGGAACCAGGATGGGATCCAGGCAGGGGTTACCCTGAGCAGGGCCACCATAACGCTCGCTGGGCTGTGTTTCTCTATCCTTCCTTCCTCAGAGAAGGCTCACAGCCTTGGTGTCTGGCAGGTTTTTATAAATGCTGTCTCTGTCCGATGCTAATGAAAGCCTCTCAGCTCCCCCCTCTCCYGTTTTTGGTTACCAGATCATGTTAAGAGTTAAATACCAAGAAAAGCAATTTTCTCACCTACCCTGCATGTTATAAACCCCTTTGGTGAGACTAATTACTATAGGAAAAATAAAACCAGGCAGTTTTTGGGCAATGCACACTGGTAGCGTCCCCTCCCCAGCTAAGCCAATCACACTCCCAAGTCCAGACATCTTTGCTGAGATAGTCTCGCCTACGATACAGCCTGCTTAGCGCTAAAATATGAATGTCACCTTTATGGATTGATTATTAAAAGCTTCCTTAGTCAGTGCTGGGCTGCCCAGCTCTCAGGGAGGCCATGAGGAAGAGCAACCAGGCTGACAGATGCAAAGGAAAAGCAAAGGGAGAAACCATCATGGAGGCTTGATTTACCTTTTAAGCATATATGCATAATCATCACTCCCAAACACCAAGTTTATGAGATTTGTTTGTTATCTTGTGTTGGTTTTTATTTTTTTTTAATTAGCACAGCATCTGTTCAAAGACCTGGCACAAACATCTTCATCTGTTGTCCTTCCTTCCTCCTTTGTGGATCTAACTTGCCATCGGCAGGAATAGTGCAGCCAGTCCAGCGAAATCCTAATTCCAGCCCCATCGCTATCAGCCTGCTTTAATAAGTCTGATTTTTCACAAATTGCCTCCCGCTCACCCGGCATTCAGAGAGCTGGATCCCAGCGGAGCTCAGCCCTCCGTGGCAAAGCCCTGGATTATTTGCCCCCAAGCCAAAGCAGACGTGCAACATTGCCGTCGCCACCCCCAGGGGAGTTATTGTTCCTGAGGCTGGTGGAGAATAACCAAACCGGAGGGAAGTCACGCTTCACCCTCGCACCTCTCCACCGTCAAAAGGAAAAAGCAGATTTCAAAGAAAAAGGTGGTCCTTGAAGTTTAATCTCCAGCTACAATAGMCCGGGCACGCTGCATGGCCATTGTGTCTTTCCTTACTCACCTCCTTAGCAGTGACGGGCTCCCTGGAGCTGCGCTCTGCAGAGCATCCGTGCTCGAGGGGGGCGGACGCTCCTCGGCTACCTTGCGAGGAGCAGCGGTGTCGCCTGCAGCCCGGCTCCGGAGGGCTTTGTCGGCTGGCTGACTGCTGGCTGACGGAGCTGCGGTATCTGATGTGTGGATGATGTGCGCCTCGAACACACACGCATCTGCACGCCTTCCCCTGACGTCAGGGCCGGGCCAGGGGGAGCGGGCAGGTGGGAGGGATCAGCCTGGTCACTTCTGAGCTAGGCTTAAAGGAGAAAGTCTGTATGGGGGGCCGGAGGTGACGAGGGTCGGCCCCGCGGGGCTGCATCGCTCCGGTTACGCAAAGTGACGCATATCGCTGGTGCAGCCGGACGCAGTGGGGTAGCCCCACAGGCTGCAGGGATAGCAGGATGGGGTGTGCACTGCAGGCAGGGATGCGGACAGGGTCGCTCGCAATGGATGAAACCTCTCTCCTGTCACCCCGAGATGCAGTGGTGCCCTACAGCCACTCTCCCCACCTGCCTAAGCGCCCCTGGGTACCACGGTAAACCCCAGTGCRGCAGTAGAGAATAGGAGGCACATGCTGCAAGTCCATCCTACTGCCCCACTCACCTGCACCGTCACAAACCCAGGTGCCTTCTAAGGGTCTTATTTCTACCAGTGCACTGCCAACCCCCAGCTCCAACAGATCTTTCCCTTCTGTTTTCCCCTGTGCTTGTGTGACCATGCTCAGGGCAGCCATCTCTGCAGGCAGAGGCCATGTCATAAATTGGCCTGAGTTTTTGCTAGTCGGAATGTAGGGCAATGGGGTGAGGACAGACTTGTTTGCTGATTCCATTGGGGAATAGGATGAGGAGTAATGGGGTTTAAATTACAAAGAGCAAGATTGATGTTAGACATTAGGAAACACTTTCTAACAGAACAGACAGTTAATTACTCAAGTAGATTGCCTGGCCAAGCACCAGGGTCTCTGTCACTGGAGGCTGGTACGAACAGGCTGAGGAGGCATAACTCAGGGGGGGGATTTAAGTGATATCAGCCTCATTTTGGAGTAGAAAGGTGCACCACACCAGAACTTTACCAAACAAAGTCCCTCAGATCCTGGAATAAAATTGACAACAACCCCAAACAACCATGGCGCAGTGTCAGTGCTGTGCAGGGAGCTGTTATGGGCATCTTGTGACATGGGGTGGTCGTGGGTTGCTTTCGTTTCCTCAAACTCTCTCCTTGGTACATTCTAAGTAGCTGAACATGATGATGCCAATTAGGCCTGTTCTACACACAACCCTTAGGGCTACAGGGTGGCATACAAGTTATGTGGGAAGCACGAGGCATGGCATAGAGTCAGGAGACAGGGTGACAACCGCTCCACCTGGCTGTATCCATCCATCCATCCATCCATCCATCCATCCATCCATCCATCCATCCATCCATCCATCCATCCATCCATCCATCCATCCATCCATCCATCCATCCACCCAGATACTGGGTGTTGATACTGGGCTGTCTCAAGTGCTTTGGCAGAGGGATCAGGTCACAAAGCACTTGCCTCTCTCCTGTCAATGAACTATAGTGCAGAAAAAAGCTCCATAGACAGAAGAGACCAGCCCATCGTGATACCTTGAAGACCTTGTCTAAAACAGAGGCTAAACAAAATTAAGAGAATAAAAAGCAATTATATCTATTGAAGGGCCTTCAGGTACATTTGGGGTAGTCACAGCCCACCCAGAGGCTACACCCAAAATGGACAACTAGTCATGGGTTTTTCATACTTCATAAGTTTTGTCCATTTGCATATCAAGGGTTAATCTTCCAATTACAGTTTTAGGTAATGAAGTAATTTACTCCAAGTTTGCTCCCCCCAATTCATTGTTGTTTACSTATCTTGGGGCTTGAGACAGTAAGGTGTCCTTGAGTTTTCGGCCTACAGAGGAATTTTTAATCTAAAAATGRGAGAACAGTAGCTTAGCACTGTATATGGAATTTACAGTTATACAGTAAAAAATTACAGGATTACAGATTCATGAAAAATAGAGAAACTAAAATCCTAAGGCATCAATGGCAAGGCCACAAAGAAGCACTTAAACCACAAGTGCCAGCGGGTTCTGCCATTCCGCATCACATTCTGCTTGTGGCCTTTCAAGTAGTTTTCCATGACAGAACAGGAAACTGTCACACCCTACAGACACCTCCAGGCTTATCTCTCCAGTCTACTGTTCAGAACTCTGCAAAAGAAGGGGAGAAGACCCCCAGCCAACTCCACTCTGAGTTTCTCCTGAGATGGCCCCTTCTTTCCTGGGGGGTAATTCCACACATCCAGACCAGGAGGGTCCTCAGCTGGAAACAGCTGGAAGCCAGAAGAGTGCTGGGGATGTGTGGTACAGGCACACCCTCTCCTTCCCCAGTCATTCGTTTATCATTTGTACACAGAATATCAGAAATTCCTGGATGCCACATCTACCTCTGTGCCCAGCTGCATGAGCTAAACAATATGAACTGAAGAGAGGAGACAAGCATCAGAGCCTGGCTCTCCCACATAAAGGCTCTTGATGGAAAAGGCACAGGAAACTTGAAGYGAGTTTGGCTGGAAGGTGGCTCTGGGCATGCGCTGCAGCAAAGGAGACAGAGAGTCTAAAGCAGGAAAAATGATAAAAGGAGAAGAGGGAAAGCTTTGATCAAACAGAGAGTGGGAGTGGGGGTGCCAGAGATGCCTGCAGAGAGGGAAGCAAAGGCAGGAGCGCAGAGGACTTTGTACGTGAGAAGATACGTAATTCCTTTGGAGTCAATCAAAGGAGGGCCAGAACTGTCAACATGCAAATTACCACTCACTTCCCCTAGCATTCCTGAGCCAATTTTCTGTAAGAACCATGGGGATGCGGGGATGAAGGAGATCTTAAACCAAGTAATTTGGGGGTTTCTTTCATTTTCCTCAAAGGTTCCAATYCTTCAGGTAACTTCAAATAGTAATTTTGAGTTTTCCTGTACAATCRTGAGAATGAGAAATGTCTGGGATTTTCTCTGATGGACAGAAAAACTCTTCTGCACCCCCTGGATTTCAGCAGCTAAAGCTTAAAAAAAATCCAACYGCCCAGCAATAGAGAACTATGTTCTGAAATGCTGGAAAAGAGCCCAATATTACTGAGAGAGACTGTAGAAACTTTATGGTTATGTGTGAAAAGATGTATAGAGGCATTGTGGATTTCTGGATATTCACCATGTCAGTACTACTGGGACAAAAAGAGACAACTCAGCAAAACAATCTCTTACACCGTCTCCAATAGCAAGACACTTCAGCGGCAGCTTTAAATGCAGCGTAACTCTGAGCACTACCAATAGCTGAGTTGAGGCAATACCCATAATTTACAGGGCAAAATTTGGCTTTTGTTTACATTGACGATAGCACTTACAAAATATGGAATTCCTCCAGGGAGAARACCTAGGTGAGGACAGAGCAACATCTGTCATGCGCAGACAGCTTGGGCACATACCACATGGGATTGGGGAGGGGTTAGCTGAAGAGAGTGAGACTGGAAATCATTTCCCACAGCCTGGATGTTACTGGTGGAGGCTGAGACACTGACAGGCAAACTTGGCTCTGGTGGTGATRATAGCCTGGTACTGGAGGCAGTGAAGCTCATCCCACACTGCCATCACAAGCTTTCTCTCCACACATTTCAATTCAGTTTCCCCAGAGTGATATCAAAGTACCTGCAAGTTTCACCAAAATACACAGCTGCACAGAGAAGAGGAATCTTGTCCTCCTTACTGAGGAGTGGCCCAGAGCATTCAACCCTTGTTGACCATCACAGAGCTGATACAGGAGACAGAGAATCTGCATATCTTGCTTGGTGCCTGCACTTTACAATACACTCATAGGATACAAGAGAGTAAGAAGTGAGACCTTGCAGTCCTGCTGCTCACACAGCTGTTTTTTGGGGGCTGTGGATAAGACTGAAGGGAGACGTGTCTGCTTTGTATTGGGCACCCAAAAGCTCCCGATGGGGCATGGTTATTGGAAGCATGAAAAATGTTAGCTCAAGAACGGGCTAGAAATGGAAGCATCACATGACTATCTAAATCCACTTCTGTCTATCTCCCATGTTTTCCCAGGTATTTCAGTCTACTGTTCCCTGAGCACATGTCCCTATCTAACCTTACAGTTCTTATATACAAGCATCTAGAGTGATCACCTTGCCAAAACCACCAGTGCCTAAGTTCTCTTTCATTTTGCAAAAGGAAAAGATAAGGCTATTTCTTCCCCTGCCTTCAGGAAAGGGTTGAGAACAATYCTGTCTTCTGAAAAGATAGCTAGACACCTGCAAAAGCTGCACTAGTTAAAGGGCAAACCTTGCATTGCCAGACCTGCATGAGGCCAGGACAGAATAGCAAGGGATGCAGCATGTGTGCCAGCAAAACTGTGCTGTGCCGAGATTAGCGCAGCCGTGACAAGAGTACAGGAGAAAGGAGTCTTTGTAAGGCTCCCTGAAGTAGGACAAGAAGAGCAGGAAATGCTGGGGATTTGGGTTGAGGTGTTCTGATAGAGTGGTGTCTGCTGTGCTGGCAGCAGAGCTCCTTGCTGAGACAGTAGATACTGCTCCAAGAAAAACACTCCTCTTCTGAGGTGACAGGGGAAATCTTGTTTCTGGGCTCCCCATGTAATACAAACATGGTAAACATGGGCAGACCAGCCATGTTTATTAAAAAAAAAAAAAAAAACAAACAAAAACCACCAAACCAAACCTAAACCCCAACAGATCTGGTTAAACAGAGTAATTGCAAAGAGATAAAAAATTCCTTGTCCAAGACAGGTATCTTGTTAATGAGGCCTAACAATGGTATTTCCAACCTTGTTTTTCCCCTCCAGTTCCCAGACAGCTCAACATTTAATAATTCCTTACCTAAACTGCTTGTTACTGTCCCACCACACGCTGCTGGGGAGCGTGGGGGATGACACACTTAGCCTTCRCATCAAAGCCATTATGCTGACAGTGCAGTTTTCACTCTCAGCCAGGGATGTTTGGTTTTCCTGGCAGATCTTTTTTTAAACACACTTCAAACAACCTCCTATTTTCCCTGRCAAATCTCAAGACATTAGCATACCCCCTTGTTTTCTGCCATCCTGCATGCTGCATTTCCCTCACTGCAGAATGCACCAAGACCTCAAAAATTATATGACGTGGGTTACTTTATTTTTGCCAATTAACACGCAGAAATTATTCCAGCTCTGTGTGACAGCAGTTTGTCCCTGACAATAACCTTGACCTAAGCCATTGGGCAGATTCAGCTGTGAGGAGCTTCCAGGTGCAAAGAGGATTACATAACCACCCGGGTTTGCTGGAGAGGTGAACAAACAGCTGAAAAATTGCCTGTCAGAGAGGCAGACTCATTTTTGGGCTCCTGAGCACAAGAAGGACACAGAACTTCTGGAGGGGGTCCAGCAGAGAGCAACAAGGATAATGGGAGGACTGGAGCTCCTCTCTTAGGAGGAAAGGTTGAAGGAGCTGGGCCTRTTCAAGCTTGAGAAGACTGAGAGGAGACCTCATCAATGCGTATCAGCATCTGAAGGGTATCCAGAGGATGGGGCCAGGCCCTTCACGGTGGTGGCAARCAATAAGACAAGAGGCAATTTGCAGAAACTGATGCCCAGGAAGTTCCACCTGAATGAAAATAACCTCTTTACTGTGCAGGTGACCAGGCACTGGAGCAGATTGCCCAGAGAGGTTGTGGAGTSTCCCTCACTTGCAAGAACCCTCTGGATGCAATTCCTGTGCCATGTGCTCTGAGAGGACTGTAATGTCAAGGTGGCTGGAAAAATAGACTTTCTAACACAGTTTGAAGCATTAGTAATCAGGTATTCTTTATCTACATAAGACATATAGAGTATCTCTGAAAATTTATATTTTCTATGTTATTTATCAACTGTGCTTGAGAAGGGAGGTTGGACCAGATGCCCCACTGTGGCCCCATTCTATCTGACCTGTTCTGTGATCTCTACTGACCTATCTGGATTGAAGTTTACGAAAATGATAAAATAAATCAGAATAATTGCGGTTATGAATTGTTTCATCTGCAGCACGGGAGAATCCGTCCGGGGACACACCTGGCGGAGGTGAAGAGGGGCAAGAACGAAGTACATAGCGCCCCTGCACAGGGCGGTCGGTTCCTGAGGGCCTTTCCACCTTTATATTGGCCAAAAGCAGCACCGCCCGAGGATCACCGGACGGAGCCAGGCCCCGCCCCGCCGAGGAGGGACAAAATGGCGGCCGCGGGCGCCCCGCCCCGCCCCGCGTCAATCAGGGCGCGCGACCCGCCCGCCGAGAGCGATTGGCTGCGGCGGCGCCGGAAGTGGCGCGAGGCCGGGACACGCGGCGCGGCCCCGCGTGCGGCAGGTGCGTGAGGGGAACCGCCGCCATCCCGCCGGCATTCCCCCGCCTCCGGCTCCTTTTCCCTCGGGACAGCGGGGATACTGCCCCACCGCGCTCCGTGCCACACGGTGGGGTGGATTGTCGGGCCCGGTCCTTGCCGCGCTCCAATTCCCGAGGCTGTTGGCGTCTCCTTGCCCTTCACCACTATGTTTGTGCTAGTGGAGATGACTGACACTGTAAGAATTCCTCCCTGGCAATTTGCAAGGAAACTGAACGAATCCATTGCTGAAGAGCTAAACAAGAAATTGGCCAATAAGGTAAAGCGTGGGTCACGTATAGGTTGATGTGTGGATGAGGTGTCATGAGATTGGTTTAGATGTGAAGGCCATCTCCAGTGACTGTTAACAAAGACATAGCCACGTGTCATCTCAAAGGGGACATTTTTCTAATGGCTTATGCCGTAATGGAAAGACACGGAGACACCAGATGGGGCAGAGAAGCATGGMAGGGAAGTTGGAGCAGCTGCGGTTTGTGTTTTGAGGAGCAATCCCAAATGCAGCCTGAAAAACAAATGCAAACTAACTCATTCAGTGGGGAATTTAAGGAAAAAATACTGTGTAAGCACATGTAGAACAGTAATACTGGAAGAGAAATGAAAGTGTTAATAGCTGACTAAATTGAAATACACTGTGGCAGTGAGAAGTGTGGCAGTGTGGTCTTGGTGCAGCACATAAAAAGTGTTTTCTGGACCTGGAGGTCACAATTTCGCTGTGCAGCCTGGGATTGTGATTAGCATATGGCTTCAGCATGAGGCGGGTTCGAAACTCAAAATGCAGCTTTAAACATGAAGGGATCTCAAAAGAGCAGCCTGAATGGGTCGAGGGTTGTGAATAGCAGATTACACAGGCAGGTTATGAAAAGCAAGTCTTCCTTCATCCACTGATGATTGGTAGCTCCCTCAAGTTTTGTAGGCAGTGAAGCTGTCTCAGAAGTAGCAGAGAAACAAAGAATTTACCTTGTGCCTCCCAAAAGCTAATATAAGACAAAGGCAAGCTTAGAGGCTTCTCAGAGTGTAACTCCCCCAGAAAGTGTGTTTAGCCTTTGGACAAGCTGTGTGGCTGGTGAATGATGTCTGGTGGGAGCGGTTTACTGTCTTGGCAGATGAAGTTCTCTCACCACTGACAATTTTGCCAAGGGCTTCTGTTTGTAGCAGTGTTCTTTCCAGTGCCAGTGAAAATGTGTTCCCATAACACTTGAATTGGGGTTTCCCTGTGCTACTGGCAGTGTTGAAGGCAATGTAACAAAACAGCCTCCATCCCCTTTCGCCACCCCTCTGTTGCTTCCTTTAGAAAAGGTGTGCATAATGTATGAATTCCGTAGTGTGCTTGATTTATCCTGGTGGGTTGGTTGATAYACTGTTTTTAATTTTTTTTTCTTTTGTCAGGTCGTATACAATGTCGGGCTCTGCATCTGTTTATATGATATCACAAAGCTGGAAGATTCATATATATTTCCTGGGGATGGTGCATCACACACCAAAGGTAAGTGCTTTTCCTCAGTTATATGGCAGACAGTTAATTAATGGAAATATAAGCTGAGTTCAGTTGTTAGGGAAAGTAACAACCTTAAGTTCACAACCTTAACTCAGTTCCTGTTAGGAGGGCAAGAGGAACATGGTGAAGTCTCTTCCTTTCTTTGCTGTTTTTGGTACAAATACAGCTTTAAATAGTTAGTCCTGCTTGCCTTCTCCAGCAGTCCATCTCTTTTCTACACTTAGAGACATTAAGTGTGGGGTAAGGAAGTGTGGGGTAATTGAAAATTATTGAAAGTCTGCACATAGAAAATAAGTTGCAATGATTGGTCTACATTCCTCTAGTGTTTTTTTCTTTTTGAAGCTTATTTTCTSTAGCCAGGATGTTGAAACCTGTTTCTGCATATAGCATTTTTGCACAGCTTTTGATGTTCTTGTCCTAGCTGGAAGTTTTATGACATTTTTGTTGAAACTTAGACAGATCTGGTTGATCATACTTTTCTAGTGTTTTTTTTTAATAAGAATTGACTAATTTCTTTGCTTTGACTCTTGGCAAATGTGAGTAAAAACTGTAAGTAAATGCATAAAAGAAGAATTTTTTTTAATATTAAAATAAGATTTTAAACTGGGAAGAGATGCATTTTTCTAGTTTCAGTTTATAATGTGGAAGCATAGGCTGAGCACATAAAATATTTCCTGTTACAATGGAACTGCACTGACTATATGTGACTCCCCTTGTYGGAATTTTAACTCCAGTAGAACTTGTTCCCTGTAAATAAAAGTTTCTCTAATACTGAAGGAGAATGGCAGGCTTTCCTGCTTGCCTTTATCTCCAGCTTCTTAACTTAGAGTTGCTCCTTGAACTGAAAGAAGTTTTTCTCTCTGAGCTTGGGAAAAAGGTCTGCTTTCAGAATGTGGGCTAGCACTTTGATGAATCCTGCTATGTCTGGTAATCACTCTTTAATGCACTGCCTAGTTTTATGTAAAAGAGGAGCACTGAGAAGTTACAGATAAAATGATGTTAAATTGCTCAGAAGCATTTTTTGGCTGAGATTGTCTTGTAATAATAAATGCCATGTGCTTAGTTGGAAAAATTTTATCTAGCTTGGATGAAAAATCCAGTTGTGTTAGAGAAACTTATTTAATCTGGTAATATTTGATTTAAACTATTTCATTTAAAGAAAATATAGCATTGCAGACAAAGAGARAAGGCAGAAGTATTACAAGAAAGTATAATTTCAGCTGATACACTTGAACTTGAAGCATTGTGGAGGAATGTTTCCATCATAACTTAATCAGAGGGCCTGCTCCATGTTTGTTATCTTATACTCTGTTTCTATGAACTACTTGCAAAACTAAGGAGCTGGGAGCAGGACACTGCTGTGTCAGATCAGCTGCTGTCAGAATTTGTACAAACCAGTTAGGAATCAGATCCCTTATTCGTATTTTTATATCTAATCAGTGCCTGTAAAGAAATTGTAAAAGAAACTGGGTGTTTTAGTGGGCATATAGGAAGTGGGATTTTGTTTTAATGGCTGCCACCCTGTGGAAGGACTATAGTTCACTAATATGGACATAACATTAATGATGTGTTTTATTTGAAGTGCATTTCCGCTATGTGGTCTTCCATCCCTTCCTGGATGAGATTCTGATTGGACAGATTAAAAGCTGCAGTCAGGATGGCGTCCATGGTAAACCACAACTTCTGACATTAGGGGCACGTGAGCTGCAGAGTTCTTGGGTCTGCTGAGACACTGATTTTGGGTGGAATAATACTCTCTGTGGGCTGGTTAAAGGGTGTTACTGGCCTCTAGTACTGCTCTGATCTGAGGGTGATTGGTAGTTTGAGCCTGTCAGCTTCCCTGACCTTGATAGTTTTGTCTGCAYTCCATTTTCCTTTTGCCCAAGAATAACAGGCAAGCCTGTCTGGAGCATAGACTGGATTCCTTTCCCTGCTTCAGTTAACAGAACTTGGTTTTCCCAAAATGGAACTATTGGCTTGTGTCAGTCTGATGTATTTTCCCTATAGTTCTGTGCAAATTCGTGTTCATTTCCTGTACCTGAAAACATGGCTGGGAAATGTCTTTGTGAGCACAAAGTGCTGCCAGAGTCATAGAATACATAATTGATGAGTTGCTTTCTTTTCCTTGAGGAGTCTTCCATGCAAAGGAGCTCTGCTGCTCAGTTGTTAAATTAGGACAATAAGGTTACCTTGGCTGCATTTGTTGCTGAATTTGGGCATGGTCCATTCCCTGATAAAATTGAACATCATGAAATCTCAAGGGGGATGTGAGGCCTGTTCTACCTTTATGTTGGTCTTTATTTAGCATACTATATATGTGATTTCTAAGCTCTTTTCTGTCACAGACCTCTATAGCATCTGACTCATTTCTTGGAACGCTTTCATTTCCATTCCTGCTCCAAACAAACTTCTCCTTTCCCAGCGGGCATGAAGACTGTGCCCTCTGTTGCTGTGTGTACTTTCAGCTGGGTGGTTGCTTTGCTGCCAACTGAAATTGAGCGTTGTGGCTCAAAGAATAATTTCTGCATAATCTCAATGTCCTTTCTGAGAGAGGAAGGAGAATGAATCTAGAAATGCATTTTAGGAATTGCTGTGGGACATCATTTGCAAAGGATTGTTTCAGTCTTAATCAAATTCTTCTCCCCACAGTTTCTATTGGATTCTTTGATGATATTGTCATCCCACCAGAATCCCTGCAGCAGCCAGCTAAGTTGTATCCTTTGATCACCTTTGATAACTTTACTACTTCATTTCAAAAGATTGTGCAGTGCTAGCCCAACAGGCATTCACCACTGCAACAATGAAGGTGCTCAGCAGCAGAAGCTAAGCCGTTGTGTCGGGCAAGTCCCGCAGACTGTTATCACAGCTAGACAGGCCCTCACGCTCATTAGGTTTTGCAGGATCATTGTGCCCACTGATAGAAATGAATGGCAGTGTCCCCTRAACAGCCAAGTTGTAATCCCTGCCTCCAGTCTTGGCTGCTGCTGAAGATAGAATGCAGGTTTTACTACATCATGTAATGTCTACATACATGTGTGTCTGATGTGCTTCAGAGTGGTAGAGGAAGTTGTCTTGGGTCTGAGGTTTGCTTGTTGAGGGGTCTTCTCTGGTTTTGGGGTTTTTTGGGTGGTGGGTACACCAGCAGTGTACCCCTTGAAGCACGAAAATCAGAAAGACGGGTCCTGGGCTACGCAGATGATAACCTGGGACAACACACYGGTTTGGGAAATGACAGTGAAAAGCTTTGAATCAAGTCTGTTTTCAGAACTGTCAGAAAGTAAYGTGTCAAATAGTATACTGATTGTTTCCATCCTTAATCCTTGGCATGGCCAGTGATGAAGCAGAGCAGGTATGGGTGTGGGAATATGAGACAGAAGAAGGGGCCCATGACCTTTACATGGACATTGGGGARGAGATACGCTTCCGAGTGGTGGATGAAACGTTTGTCGATACGTCACCAACAGGTCCAAGCTCTGCAGAGGCTTCCACTTCAAATGCTGCAGAAGAAGTCCAGAAGAAAGAAGCACCCTACACTCTTGTGGTAACAATGTGCATTAATTCATGCAAGCTTGAGGGTGTCATGGTTTATGCACTGTCTAAAATAGCCTTTCCCAAAGAGCTGATTGCTTTAAGCTGGTGATGAAGCAGTCACAAAATGAAAGGAGTGGRAAAGGGGAGAAATGGGATTATTCTTGTGGTTGTTCTGTTTGCTGAGTGTTTTCATTGGAACACTTGGTGGTTGTTGGTGGTTTCCCCTAGGAGGCTGATTTAAAGCAAACTGTGCACGTATGAAGGTACAGAGCTGGGAGCAACACGTCAAGGTTTATACAGCAACTGAACAGTCTTTTCTTGAAGTGTTCTGGCATAAACCCTACCTACCTGAGTACAATGCCTGAGAAAGGTGGATCTGAACCAGTGACAGCTGTGTTCCATAACTTAGAGGGGAGAGATGTTGTATTTTTAGGCATTTTCCTCTATTCTTTACACAGTTTACAATTGCATGCTCTCATCTTCTCTCTGTGAACAGGGGTCTATCAGTGAGCCAGGACTGGGCCTCCTGTCGTGGTGGACAAACAGTTAGCTGCCATCAGAGCCTGCTCCACAGAAAGTCTTTCCAGTGGATGTTTGGGGGATAATGGAACCCTGCTGGTGCTCATTGCTCCTCCGAAGCTGAATGAGAAATTAGACTTGCCATTCTCTGTTTTCCCTTCAGCTTTCAAGCTGCCAGAGAGACAGTTGCTCTCAAGAAATGTCTTTACTGATGTGCAGAAGTGAACTTACAGGCACAAAAAGCCTTGAGCACAGCAACTACAAACTCAGCTGGAGTTTAGGTCTCCTGTCCCGAAGGGAAAATTGKGGAGGTCTTTACTTGCCTGAATTAAGGAAAGAATTTACTTCAGTGAGTAAAAGCRGAAGAGAATTCGTGTTGAGCAGTACCACTTCTTAGGTTGGGATTTTAGAGGGGTGGAAACCTGCCCTTCTTTTGACCAAAAATGAAGAAGACAGCAAAAGACAGCAGAATGAAATGAAATGAAATGAAATAATGAAATGAAATGAAAAGACAGCAAAAAGTTGGTAGCGATGCAGTACTCTGGAGACCTGGAAAATGCTGCTGCTGGGAGAGCAGGGGAGGTGTTGGTCATGTTCTGCTAAGATGGGAACTTCACCCATGGATGAAGTCAGCCAGAAGAAACAGGAATGACAGTTTACTGAAAAGTAATTCAGGCTTATTGAAGATGACCACTGTGGAAAACTACAGGCTGTTTATTTGTGCTGAATGGAATGACTGTATTGGGTGGGCTGTATTTATGCAGAATCAGCTGAACTTTGCAGGAGTTTGACTGAAAATAGGTAATTCTGAACTGAAATGGACCAAGGCTGCTTTGAGCAAAGCTAATTCCTTGTTTTTGGGGGTTGTTAATACCGTAAGTGGAATAAATAGTAAAAAACACACAGCCTTGCCTTCCTGTACAATTTGTGGGGAAACTGTTAGCTTCCTGCCTAGCAGGAAAAAAACACTTGCCTCCTGCAGTTTAGCTACTTGGATTTCAAGGCAGACAGTGTTGAGACCTATGCTTTGCTCTGTGCTAACAGCCAATGACAAACAATTGCCATCACCCTCCCTGACAGCAGCACAAGGAAAGGAGGGAACAAAACAATGAGTAAAATCTATGCAGGGCCCATTGCCAAGAGTGATGTTGCACATAATTACAAAGCCAGCCACGTTTGGCAGGAAGGAGCTATAATTCCCTGGGATAGTGGGTCTGCTTAACCTCCAACTGTGAAAACAAAGCCTGAGTCACCAGCGCCCTCCCTGCAGCRTCGTTAGAACCCCTTAATTCTCAACTGTTATTCTCGGTGCAATGCCCCCTAATTAAAAGGGAGCCTAGAATTCTTTAGGTTCACATAATAGCTGAGGTCCATCTGTGCAGASAGTAAGCTTACTGAATGCCACCTACAGAGCAGCGCAACCATCTAGCTGTGGTGGAAACAACGGTTTGCAGAAACCTTCCAGCTGTTTGTATAGGTAGAAATTCTGGTGAAACAAGTGAGGAGCTTCTACACACGCTGTTCTGGGGTGCCAGGGCAGGGGGAAGAAGACAGTCCAGCTACTCCAAAGCTGTTTTACTCAGCTTTTTGACAGGCTCAAGGCTCCCAGGAGTGGAGTAAGGCGATAGTGATGTGGCTTCGTGTGCTGTTCTCATGAGAGACTCCTCAACATACATCTCCTGCTGTAAGCTGTGCATTAGGAAACTAGCTTAGTGTGCAGTGCTGGGAAACTAGATACAGCAGATGCTCTTTGCAAGTTTGTCATCACTGCAATAGTGGCACTGTGTAGCCTGCAGTAGGTTCGTGGTAAGAGCTAAACAATCCAGGAGAGCTGTGACGGTTTTTTTACCACACTGAGTTATTTGTTCATTGATTTGTTTCTTTTACTCCTCTTTAGCAGTGATTTACAAGAATTTCTTTCCCACCCTCACAGCAACAATGACAGGGATTAGGATGATGAATACAACAACACATGGCAGAAGAGATGGTCACATTCTTTATTTTAAGTCTTTAGCCATCAGTAAAGTGAATGGGTAGAAAACAACCAACTGAGCAGACAAATCCACCTTAGCTGGTTATTTCCAAATATAAATAACTGTGGGAGAACTGAAATTGAGCCAAAATAGAAAAAGGGAGCTGGGGAATTTAAAAGACAAAAGTAAGCCTAGCTGCACTCCCTTTTCATAGTGTCAGTGAAGAGGAAGTACCATAACAAAAAGGAAGCTATGGTTACATTTGATCAGACATTTATTCCAACAGTAGGCATGGAATTGCACTTTCATGAAAATGCCAAAGCTGAATCGAGTCCAGTGCACTGGGGCATTGTGCGCACTTAGCTTGATTTCTGCTGCAGCTCCTTCATTCTGTTCAGGGCACTGCCAGCCTGAAACCACTCAATCTGCGACTCATTGAAGGTGTGGTTCAGCATGATTGTTTCTTGGCTCCCATTGGGATGCTTGATRATGCATTTCAGAGGCTAAAGGAAGAAGACAGTTTTATTTTCCCCCTTTTCTTTCAATGGAGCAGATTATCTGAAGCTTCTCACAGGAAAATTCCAACATGGTTTTAAAGGGCCAAAAAAGGAAAATTGCTGCTCAAGGTGGATCTTAACATAAAAGTGAAGTTGCAGTTCCTTCTAGGGAATACTCATGCTTAACTAGTGTAGGAATTCAGAGTATCCTATGAAAGTTTCTCTTAACCATTCAGACCAGCACTGATCCTGRCCTGCGGTCTATGTCCTAGCCCACTATGTCCCACGTGGCTGGCATGCTGCACTGTCCATCAGTGCCAGTGCTGCCTCACAAGTACACACCTCTACCATTGTCCCCCATCAGCAGCACATCCCTGTCCCCAAGTGCATGACCAGACACACAGATAGTTACCTTTCCAGGTGCAAAGTCTTTCAACCCCACGATGCTTAGCTTATCCACAGGATGAATCTTGTTATAGTCTGCTGGATCAGCAAAAGTGAGAGGCAGTAGGCCTTGCTTCTTCAGATTGGTTTCTGTGGAGAACAAACAGCCAACCATGCTAGTAACACCCCACTGCAGGAAAGCAGGATTACTTTTTGTCTGTGCCGTGCTTCTCAGAGGACTCCTCCAGCAACAATTGCTGTCTTTGCTGCCAAATCTGCATATCCGTTGTTCGTAGCATATCTAACTATGTATGTAACAGGACTCCTGACAGGAGGGACCTTGCTRTCTGTCAGCAGGGAGGGGTCATGCCTGTAGGTGTTGAGCCCTGGGCAAGGTAAACACCACTTCCACTCAAACCAAACACATCCTGTTTACACACACCACAGGGGAAGCCTGACTCACCATGGATCCTGGCAAAGCTCTTGGTGATGATGACCCTTCCTCCCAAGTGCCGTGGCTCCARTGCTGCATGCTCCCGGCTTGATCCCTCACCATAGTTTTCATCCCCAATAACTGCCCATTTGACACCCATTTTCTGAAACAAAAGACACAGATTTACATTTCTGCAGCCACTCAAGCAAGGAATTAATAAATACCACCCACACATCTAATTTCAGCACTTCACTGACATTGCTATGCTATGCTATGACACYTTCTCCCAGAAGACTCCCTTGGGTTCTGAGAAAGAGAAATAAAGGAGTTAAGAGCTTCACAGCTGTTAGGCACTGCCACCCTTGCTGGCAAGGGCTGAGGAGGGATCCAGGGCAAATCTTTTCCTTCCCTTTTCTGCCACTTCTCCTTCCATGGTGCTATGCCAGACCAGTGTTTGCACCAGCCATGACCTCTGCTCTATTTCTGGAAGGGATATGGAAAATTTTAACTTCTCTCACTGGAAGAGCCAACAACTGCCAAGTTGTCCAGAGGATAAAAAGACATTTCTTGACATTTGAATCCAAGTGTTAAAGAAAAAAGCAGATAAGATTAATTTACTTAAACATTAGACTGCTCACAGGTGATGCATTCCAGGAGGCAAGATTTAGTTAGTCTGATGACACCCATGCCTTGTAAGGTATGCAGACCCTAAAGGAGTTCTACCTCTTTTCTCTATGATTTATGGTTCCCTCTGAGTCATGAGATCTTCCTCCCTTCTTCCCCATAGCAAGTAGGGAAAGAATCTCCTAAAGGAACTGCCATCATTAGAGTAAGTACCAAGAAAATGCCTCAATGCTGAGTGAATTCACAGGTGCTGTTATTTGAGAGCAGGAGGGTGAGATCCTTATTCTTGGCACAGACTGACCAAAGTGTAAATATCCTCTGAAAATAGATGTGTCAGGAKAACATCTCACCTTGTAGTAACGGGCTGTGTCAGGGACTGGGCCAAACTCCTGGGTTAATGCATTTCGCACAGAGTTGGCTTTGCCATTTTCGATGTTGATGGCACCAATGAGCAGGTTGTTTGAGATGTTGTCCAGATGGCCACGGAATTTCAGCCACGGTCCAGCTGCAGAAATATGGTCAGTGGTGCATTTCCCTTTTACCTAAGGGGTGGTAGAAGAGAAGAATATCTTAGGAGTAGTGTACTTGACCCTTCCTCAACACTTCTAACTGTGAAGCATTAACTGGGAAGAGTAGTCAATACTCCAGAGGGCTCTGCAGCCCTTCAGCAGGATCTCAACAGGTTAGAGAGGTGGGCAGAGAACTGTCTCAAGTTCAACAAGGGCAAGGTTCAGGGTCCTGCACATGGGGAAGAGTAACTCCATGCACCAGCACAGGCTGAGGGCTGACCTGCTCGGAAGCAGCTCTGTGGAGAAGAACTTGGGAGTCCTGGTGGACAACACGCTGTCCATGAGCCRGCAGTGTGCCCATGTAGCCAAGAAAGCCAATGGTACCTGGGATGCATTAGGAAGAGCACTGCCAGCAGGTCAAGGGAAGTGATCCTGTCCCTCTACTCAGCCCTAGTGAGGCCACCTCTGGAGGGCTGTGTCCAGTTCAGGCCTCCCCAATACCAGAGAGACATGGAGCTCCTGGAAAGGGTCCAGGGGAGGACGACAAAAACAATTAAGGGACTGGAGCATATCAGCCTCAAGAAGAGACAAATGAGAGGGGACTTCATTAGTATGCTGAAGGGAGGGTGACGAGGTTCTTCTCAGTGGTGCCAAGCAACAGGACAAGGGGTAATGGGCAGAAACTAATGCACAGGAGGTTCCACCTGGACATGAGGAAGAACTTCTTTACTGTGCAGTGACCGCACACTGAACAGAGMGGTTGCTCAGAGAGGTTGTGGAGTCTCCCTCACTGGAAATATTCAAGAACCATCTGGACACAATCCTGTACCATGTGCTCAGGGATCACCCTGCTTGAGCAGGGAGACTGGACGAGATGACCCACTCTGGTCCCTTCCAACCTGACCCATTCTGTGATCACCATATCTCTTTTTAAAGGCACAAACCCATGAAAAGTACATCAGTTACACAATCAAGGCACTCTAAAGCCGAACACAGTGGTCATTCTGCACACTTTAGGTAACAATAACATCCCTTTTCCAAAGAGTAAATTACAAAAATTAGCTTAGCCATGGTATSTCCTGCCATGTCCTCACTTCCTTCAGCAGCAGGTTGTTCAGGTACAAAAAGCAGTAAAGCCCTTCCTGCTACAGCTCAGCCTCCCTGCTGGGGAACTTCAGCAAGATGCCAAGTGTTACCCTTTAAGTTTCCAAACCACACATAAGCCTTCTCAGCTTGTAAGAACAGAATGGCCTTCCAACTGGTAAGTTCTTAAATGCTTGGAAACGCATTACCCATGTCAAAAACTTATGCACAGCAGTACGGCAATTGGGAATGCCTCCAACTCTGCCACTGAAAATCACGAATGTTCCCAAAGGTCAATTTCTAAAGGATTGCATTTCAGAGCCCCTCACGTATCAACTGAAGTTTCCCTCTGTTAACTCACCTCAGGCAGTGAGGAGAAACCCATGTCTCCATTGAAAGACCAAACTGCAATGTTTA